CTCTCAAATCCTCTATAACAATACTGCTGTCTGGCTAGATTGTCTACTTACTGTACTTAAAACCTAGGATAGTGTTTGTCAAGTGCATAATAAAAACTTAAAAACACACCAAGTAGTATATTAGAAAGAACACTAAATTTGAAGTCAAAGAACCTAAGAATTTAATCCTAATTTTGCTGTTTATTTTTAATGAACTTTGGCCAGTCTTTTACACCCTCTGGGCTTTCTATCTTCTCCACTGTAAATTAGGGGCAAGAGAAGAGGGGAAAGAGAGAAGTTGGACTAGATCTTAATATAGTATGATCCTGTGACACAAATCTTCCAGGCTCTGCTCCTGGGTTTCCTCTGCTTAAATTATCCTGGGTTCATGTATACCTGTTCATGTATATTCAGAGTATCTTAATTCTCCAACTAGAATGCAAGCTCTTGCATATTCATAAAGGTAATTCCCTAAATACACCAAGAAAAAAATTCTTATTATTCAATTAAATGTTAGGAAAATGAATGTTTTATTTTCATTTAGGGGTATGAAACAATGACTTCAGTATCTAAGTTAACGAATAACAACAGATCTGGTGTTGTGACCTACCAATGTAGTACTGCTACATTGAAGTTCATCTTAACTGAAATTCCCCTTGAGATGTTATGCTAAGGTTTATTTGCCAATATCCTTAACATTTACATTTTAAAAACATGTGGAAAATCTATAATGAAAATTTCTATTTATAAAACTTCCAAAAGGTCCGTTTCAAATTGCTTTTCATCGTCAGTAGATTTGTAAACGTCTATGGTAACAAAATCTTGAACTGAGCATAGTTCCAATACAAAATACAAAGGAAAAACTCAAAGCTCCAAGGATCAAACTATGAATTAAAAAATAAAACTAAAAATGCAAAAAAAAAAAAGGAAAATAAACACTATATACCACAAACATTTTTAGTGCATAAACTGGAGATAATAAAAATTGTATTCCTTTAAATCTTGCACATTAACCAAAGTTATCAAAATGCCCACTTGAACCTTTAAAGGGGAAAAACTGACATAGGAAAACTTTGAAAATATGCATATATATGTATAAATGCCCATCTATGTATATTTTGCCAAAACCACTTGATGTAAAGACTAGAGATGTGAATTCCCTCGGCACCAAATATTTTCCAGGAATAACTGAAGCAACAGTATCGTTACCCATATGGAAAAGCATGTCCCTTCAGGTGAATTCTCGTCCCTGAAAGTGCCAACTAAATCACCGGCCCTGCAAGCTGCCTAACAGGGGCCCTTCATTCCCTCGACCACGAACCCAGGAAAACTGTTTCAAAGGACGCCCGTCTGACTAGAAGACAGACGAACCTGCGGAACCTGGACAAGGAAAACCGAAAAGCATAACGAGATCACTCGGGACTCCTCGGGTGTCCGGGATGCTGCGGAAGGACGCAGAAAGGAAGCCCGGTAGCGTCGGGCAGCAGGCGGGGAAGGCTGGGGGTGGCGGGGAGCACAGCGGGCCCGGGGAAGCCCGACCCGAGCCCCGCTCCCGCCACCCCCGCCGCCCCCGGCCGCAGGAGGAGGCGCCCCGCGGCACCCAGGCTCCTACCTGGCCAGGCTCCACCAGACCAGAGATGCCGCTCCTATCGGGCGGCCCAGGCCGGAAGGCGACCGTGGCTTTAGGCGAAGCCAAGCATGGGAGGGGGGAGGAGGAGGAGGAGGAGTACAAGGGACATGAAAGAAGGGTACCTGTCTGCCTCTCTCGGATACTGGCTGCAGCCGCGGCCGCCATCTTTACTCTCACCATTCACCGCCCGGCCCAAGAGCCCGGACAGGCAGGATGACGTGGCTGCCCCAACGCCCCCGGAAGTAAAGGGGGCGGGACGCAGGATTGGAGCAGAAAACGAAGAATCAAAAGGCGCTCCCGAGGACACGTGGCTGTGCTGGCCCCGCCTCTTCTAGGTCTTATTGAGTCACGTGGCATGCCAGGCCTGCGCTGGGCGCTCCGAGATTTTAAAAGTCTTTGGCATGTGGCGGTTCCGCGATACTGGAAGCTAGTCCCTCTGAGGGGAAGGGGGATCGCTGGGAACCGTTCTCACCTAACAGGGGTTGAGAGATGGGCAATATCCCATTGTTGGTATTCTATGAATTAATCTTTAGCCTTATTGGCCTTTTTTCCTGTCCGGTGGTGGAGAGGGGGCGGTGGAGACTTCAGACTATTGGATAAAGCAGAGACAGAAGTAATCAACTTCCCATCATTATGGGGAAGTGGGGGAGGGGAAGGATGGAAGGAGAAAAAGGTTCGCGAACTTATTGAACTATTATTTTTTAAAAAGAACCCCAAATTATTGTTTTAAATTTGAATCCTTGGACTTTATTGCACTTCAAAAATGGATACACATGACAGTTCATCTCCCATAATCAATATATCTAAAACATGGAGTTCAACACTGACATACTGCTAAATCTGAAGCTGTACCAAATTCTGCAGTGTAAATTTTAAACTATTTACACAACTAAAACATAATAAAATTCTAATAATCGCTATTATATTAAAATGTAGCAATCTTTTTTTCTAGCGGCAAGTATTTTTATTTTCCACATCAAAGGTTTAATGAAATCACGTCACACTATTGGTTACCTATCATTTATTCCAATAGAAATTACCCAATATTAAAGAAAAATATTGGCACTCCAAAATATTTCATTAGCCATACTTAAAATAATTTTTTAAATTGCATAAATTTATTCAATGTCTGCCAACTTGTAAATTTATTCATTGATATTTTAATTTGCATGCCAGTGATGTAAAACTAAACAGTACATATAAAAGTCAGCCCTTTAAAGGCTTGTGAGGAGCTTGATAGAATATGTGAAAGCTTCTATTCCTAACATCCTTTGAATATTATTGGAGTACAGACAGTTCTTGCTTTACTTCAGGGCACCTTTCTGCAGACCTCTACTAGTAATGTGAATTTGCCCCTACCTACCCATTTTACTTGGGCTATATAACAAAAACATACACAAAATAATACCTTTACACAAGTCATAAAATGTACTAAAATGTAGACACACATGTGAATACTGTACCATGATAATAAACAGAATTATGAAGTGAAAGGTAAAGTTAATGATAAAGCATGCACAGTACTGTACAATAAAGTTAACGTAGGTTTGCAGTTTGCCCTTCCCCCACCCACTGAACTTTTTAGCACAGATAGCTGACTGTGCAACTTTTTTAATGATGCTATCTAAATGTTTGGACAGTGGCTCTCTTTCTTCCTTATATATGAAGATAGCAAGCAATATTATCCTCAACTAGTCTTTGAACTCTAAAAAATTTTTAAGTATTTGGATCCATCTTTTCAATACCAGAAAAAAAAATTCACTCAAATGATGAAATGCTTCTGCCAACTGTTTCCTTGTGAATCTTTTTGGTCTGATCTCAAGTTCCAAAGCTTCCCTTTCTTCTTCTGCAGTCTTTGCAGCTAGCAACTCAATTAGTTCCTCCTTCAACAGTTCTCCATGAGACTCAATCAACTTCTCCATATCATTCTCATCCACTTCTAACTCCAATTCTTCTGCTAATTTTACAATCTTGTTACTCACTTCTTTGAACATTTCATATTTGTGAAATCCATTAAAATCGGGAATGAACTTTGAGCACACTTTTTTTCCAAACTTTCTTCATATATATTTTCTGTTACATCTTCCCATACATGAAGAATTCTTCATATAAAGTCAAATTTGCATAATGCAAATTTACATAAAGTGAAAACTGTATTATGATATTCCTTTTTACCCTTCTCAGCTTTCTGTATTTGCCCCTATATTCGGATCCTCATTTTTCCCTCAATTTTTAAACATTTTTATTTAAAGTTTGGAGTTCCAAATTCTATCCCTCTCTCCACTCCCCCTCCCTGAGATGGTAAGCAATCAGATACAGGTTATATATGTGCAATTATGTAAAACATTTCCATAACTCTTTTTGTACAAGAAGATTCAAAAAAAGGAAAAAAAGTGAAAAATGGCATGCTTCAGTCTATATTCAATCAACATCAGTTCCTTTTCTGGAGGTGGATAGTATGTTTCATCATTAGTCCTTTGGAATTGTCCTGGATCATTGTACTGCTTAGAATAGCTAAGTCATTCACAATTCTTCATTGAACAACGTTGTTGTTACTGTGTACGATGTTCTCTTGGTTCTGTTCACTTTACTAAGCATCAGTTCATGTAAGTTTCCAAGTTTTTCTGAAATCATCCTACTTGTCATTTCTTACAACACAATATTTCATTACAATCATATACCACAACTTGTTTAGCCATTCTCCAATTGATGTGCAACCCTTGATTTCCAATTCTTAGCCACTACAAAAAGAGCTGCTATAAATACTTTTGTACAAATAAGTCCTTTTCCCTTTTTTGGGATATCTTTGGGATATAGACCTAGCAGTGATATCGCTGGATCAAAGAGTTTTATAGCCCTTTGGACATAGTTCCAAATTGCTCTCCAGAAAGATTGGATCAGTTCACAACTTCACCAACTGTGCATTTGTGTCCCAGTTTTCCCACATCCCCTTAAATTTCTATTTTTATTTTTACTTCTTTGATTTTATTGTATCTTGATGTCACATAGTCATCAGTTTCCACTTGTTCAATCCTAATTTTTAAGGAATTTTCTTCAGTGAGCTTTTGTACTTCCTTTTCCATTTGGCCAATTCGATTTTTTAGGGAGATTTTTCCTTGGCAAATTTTTGTATATCTTTTCTCATACTACTGACTTTTTTTTTCATGGTTCTCTTGCATTACTCTCATTTCTTTTCCCAATTTTTCTTCTACTTCTCTAATCTGCTTTTTAAAATCATTTTTAAGCTCTTCTAAGAATTCTTTTTAGGTCCAAGACCAAATTACATTTTCTTTGAGGTTTCACATATAGCCATTTTGACATTATTGTCCTCTTCTAAGTTTATGCCTTGATCCTCCCTATCACCATAGTAATTGTCTATAATCAAGCTCTTATTTTTTTTTTGCTCATTTTTTTTTTTGCCTTTTTTTGTGACCTGGTTTTTTTTATGTGAAAATTGGGTTTTGGTCCTGCACTCCCAAGCTTTTTGTGCTGGGGTTTTTTGGTCTTAATGCTGGCTTTTATTGGGCTTCAGGGCTTAGCTGCTTGCTTTCTCTAGAAGGTAGGCTTCTCTTCTGGCTTGTTCTGGGTAAGGGGGGGCTCCCCATTGGCTTCCCTTGGCTGTGGGGTTTAGTGGCTGGCTTGCTTCAAGGGTAGGGCCTTGCTGCTGGGTTGTTACGGAAACAGGGCCTCTGCTATTGGCCAGCCGTGGGCCAGGGCTTTAGTACTGGTCAGTAATGGGGTCAATGCTTAAAATTATAAAGTGGTTAGTTATACAGTGGTAAACAAATACAGCTTATACCCATGAAGGCAATGCAAACAGGTGGTCACTTTAGGACTGAGAAGTAAACAAGGATTACATGGGGGGGGTTGTGTGTGTGTGTGTGTGTGTGTGTGTGTGTGTGTGTGTGTGTGTGTGTATGAAATTTTTCTATCTCTTGAGAATAAGTGAGAAATTAACTTCAGAGTGCTATTTGTCTTATTTGAAGATTTAATTATAATGCTGCCTCATTTATGTGGTACTTCCTATCCATATGTTCAGTTTAATAAAACTTTTATAGAATTTAATTTATAAAAAGAGATTTTTCCACATTGTACAAAAGGAATCTTTTCACCCTATCAGAATAGACTATGCAGGAAAAGTCCTAATGTGTCAGTTTACACAAAAGTATGCTTTCTTCATGTATTTTTCTGGTTGCTTCCTATGCAACAGAGACATCATTACAAATTACCCAAATTTGCATATCAAAGTGAGTAGACAAAGTTATAGTGTACTGAAAGGCTGTCAACATAATTCCGAGACGTTTCTTTCTAAGTTTCTCTATAGTTCAAAGGTTTGTACACTTTAGAGTAGTTAAGGATAGGAATTGAAACTAATTTCATTAATATAGGAAACTCTCAGGTAAAGATACTCCCTCTACCAATGCAGGCCTGCAACATCTCTGTAATTTATAATCTTAGAAAAACACTCGGGGCACTGGCACTGAGAAGTCACACAAACCAGAATGTGTCAAATGCATGCCTTCAACCTCAGTCTTCCTGGCTTTGAGACCAGGTTTCTATCCATTCTGCCCTGCTGCCTAACGTTAAAAAAATAACTCATGTATATAAAACTGTCACTAGCAGAATTAAATTTGAGATTGGATTATTAAAGCAAATTTTAAATTGTATAAATCCTGGACACAAACTACATACATTAAAGTAAGTAATCAAACTAAAATGAAACATTTTACATTTGATATTACAACCAGAACATGGTACAATTTATCATAAAAGTAACAATAAAATACCATTTAAAATGTTGCCTATTTACAAACAGAGTAAATCTTATTCTAAGTACTTTCCTTAGGATGAATAAACACTAAAGGCAAAGCGACTTGGCAAATTTATCTTTTTTTCATATTGATTTTTGTTGGGATGGAGTCACTGGTCATTCAATTATCAATGACTCAGTGATTGTTTATACCATTTCATTTGAAAAGAAAAATAAACAGCACAGGCCCAAAAGGCATCTCAGGAGAATACTAGAATATTAGTGATTAAAAGAAACATGCTTAAGTGAAAAAAAGAACCAAGCTTATTCATAGGTAAATTTTTGAAATTATATAAGTATGAACATGTGAAAAGTAAAACCACTAACTGATTTCTGTTTAGACATAATTGAAAGTAAAAGACTTACTATATCATATTACCTAAAGGCTTTAACATGAGTGAATCCAAGAGAAGTAAAGATTTGCTGAGTGGTTCCAGAAGCCATAAAAATTTTAAGATACAACTACATTCAAAAAACATGTCAATATAAATAAGTTTAACTTTCAAAACTAAAAAGGAGTAATGATGAAAAGAAGCTGAGATTACGCTATTCTCTCCTCCAAATTCAAATTTGCCCCAAAATACTCATCAATACCAACAAATGTCAAAGGAATCTAGAAATAAATTTAAATCAGTAACTTCATAAGATTTCTTGCTGAATTTTAATTTAGAGGAGTTTAGCTGGCATTGCACTTGTAAGTTAGGGTGAAAAAACATAGTTAAGTACAAATGTAAAAAATCATTAAAATTTTTGGTGGAGTAAAGATGTTCTATCTACTTTAATACTAACTTCAAATTATAGATATGGAAGATGATGAGAATAGGTGTTTTCCAATTTTTAAAAATGCATACATTTGGAAGGAATGTATTAAAAACAGCACTTACATGGAAATTAAGTGAGAATGGCTTCTGGAATGAGAACACGGATTTCTAAATATAATATTTTTGTTCCTTTAAATAATTTACCAATGAAATTAATAGGTGCAAAATCATTTTACATGTATTAAAAGTTAATATCTATGGGGAGACTCATAAAGGCTTACATGGTAATTCAGCTAAGTTAACAATTAATATCCACCACCATAATCAAACCCATAATGTGGCAATAGATGTAGACAGCTAAAATAACTAGATATTAACCCACATTCACTCACTTTGAAGGCACAGAACTGCCCTAAGTCTACAGAAACCAAAACTGTTACCATTAAGGCCAAAGATACAGTTAATAAATATTAACTTTTAGGCACAATTTTAACATAATTCAACTTCACAGGTGCATAAGGAGCAGTTCTATCTTTTACCAGCTGACCTATCTGCACACTTTGATTTCTAGCTTAACGCCACTCCATCTTGAGATTAGGATATTCTTGATTCATATGCTATAATACCTTTAAATTCTGTGGCATTTCTATTTAATGCTTTAAAAGAAAAAAAAGTTGAAAGACAATTATTTTTCATACAAAACTGGAAAATAATTATAGTTTACCTGAAGTAAATATAACTTAGAAAACCAGTCAATAACAAGTTTTTATGTGTATCATGACAAAGTAACAACTTACTAAAGTTACTTATTTTGAAGTTCATAGATAAAAGCATCAAGAAAATACAAAATGTTACATCAAAGTTGAATAAGAAATTCCTTAACATATTGTACTTTTTAAAATGTCACCACTTTCTTTAAAATTCATATCAAATACTAATGAATTAGGACTGGCAAGTTTTAAGACAAGGGAGCATTAAGGACAAAGTTCTATAATGTTAAGAACATAATGATAGCAGCTTACAAGGAGGCACTTCTGAAATAAGATTTAACATCCAGTGTAGTAATTTTTTTCTCTTTCTAGTTCTAAAGCATTTCTGATGGCAAAGTCCATGTTTTCTTGAAATTCCTTATATGTGTTGGTTATAGGAAGAGTTAACTTGTTGTAGTATTTGGTTCCAACAGGATAATCAGCATGCAAAAATTCAATGGATGGAGTAGGCTGAAATCCAACAGGTGGAATGGAGCGGCAACCTGTTGCAAAAAGTAGGATATCTTCTAATGTTACTACAGATTCTCCACCTGAAACATACAAAAAAAAATGACAGGAAAGTTAAAATATTTGCATAATTTTAGAAAATCTTCAGCATTTTGGAGGTAGGCACGGTGTTAAAACAAAAAAAATTTTTAGGGGCAGCTAGGTGGCACAGTGGGTAGAGCACCGGCCCTGAACTCAGGAGGACCTGAGTTCAAATCTGGCCTGATACCAAACACTTGACACTTACTACCTGTGTGACCCTGGGCAAGTCACTTAACCCCAATTGCCTAAAAAAAAAAAATAAAAAAAAAATTCTTAAATCATTTCCATTTAAAATTTTAACAAATAAATTTTGGCATGTTAATTAGAATGAAAAACAAAAGGTATCAATAAAAAAGTGAGCAATGAAGAAATTAAAGTTAATTTCAAAATCAAAATCTTATTTCTAGATCCTAATAAAGCTCATGTTGAAAATGAATTGCTTTACATTATTCATACCCACTGCTAAGTTGAAAGACTGTAAATATACCATTGGGAAATATATGTAGGATACCTTTTAAGAAATTTTGAAATAATTTTGCCTAATCAGTAATAACAAGGATAAGGGGAATGAAAGGGCACTTTTTTTTCCCAGAAATATTTTGAGAAGCTTACAATGTTTCCTTCACCTGAAGCTACTCACTTTGGACCATCTTATCTTTAATGGATTTCATGGAAGGATTTTCTCACTAATAGGGCAGACTATTACTCAACCTGATCTTTTCCTGTGGGATTCTTGTCAATTTCTTCCCATAAATTCCTCCATATAAAATTCATCCAATGTGTTCAAGGTCTTCTTCATGGTATTTTAACATTCCAGAGTACCACATTCAGGCTGTTCACCTAAAATCCCTTGATCTTGCTACACAACAGGCCCAGCTTTCTTGGATTATATATTTTCTGGACACCACCTTAACATTTTAAGTGCAAGTCCATCTTTGACAATATGCATTGTCCTTTGGGTAACCTGCAAGTTTTCAGAGATTTTGATGTTTCATGATTCATAGCCATATTATATTACCACACAAAGATAGATTTTATTTCAGAAAGCATCATGAGATAATGGGAAATTCTGTGCTATTTCTCGAATGTAATCTAGAAAAATCTCCTATTTAATTCTGGGCCCAGATCATTATCTATCTGGAGTGCCTTCCAAATTAAGTGTATTAATGGCCTAACTCACTGGCCTGTATATTCAGCTGCATTGTCATTATCCAGATAATAGCTTTCTTCTTCATTTGGTTTTCCCTTTATGGATGGTTAGGTTGAAGTCTTTAGAACGGTTGTAAATTTCATTAAGGAGACCTTGTAATAATAGTGCAGGGAGGGACTGATGCAAATTAAACAATGTCATCCCTGGAACAGGAGTGCCTGGAGGCTTTAATCATTTATAGAGAATTACTCATCAATCAATTTGCATCATGTGGAACAGTCTACACAATGAGGGGAAACATCTTTGTTGAACTATTTTTCTGTTTTATGCTTAATATTAACAATTAAGCTTCACTGAACAAACTTCTCTTTCATTACATTTGTTGTAATGGTGTTTTCATAAGGATGGTAGACACCTCACAGAAGTAACACTTCTATCAGAAAGGCTGTAGGAAGAGAGACATACTAATGCACTGTTGGTGGAGCTGTGAATTGGTCTAACCTTTCCGGAAAAATATTTAGAATTACATAAGCAAATTCACTGAAGGGGCAGCTAGGTAGTGCAGTGGAGAGAGCACCAGCCCTGGAGTCAGGAGGACCTGAGTTCAAATCCAGCCTCAGACACCTGACACTAGCTATGTGACCCAAGGCAAGTCACTTTACCCCAATTACCTCACCCCCCCCAAAAAAAATTCACTGAAGTGCACATACCTGCTAATTCAGCAAAACCACCAATTTGCTTATACTTCAAAGAGATTAGAAAAAGGGAAACATCCAACACATACATATGTGTATATATATGTGTATATATATATCTATAGATATATATATATATGTAAAAAGATATTTATAGCAGCAGTTTGTGAAATAGCAAGTAATTGGAAGGAAAGTGATTGTCCCTTCTCCCATTTCTTTCCAGAGGTGAAAGGCTATGGGTGTGGAATACTTTATAATGTCAGACTCTTTCATTGTGTTAGCTAGTTTCACTGAATCTTTTTTCTGCTTTTTATTTATTGTTAAATGGCTCTGGGGAGGTTGGGGAGGAAAGATAGACTGAAAAATATAGATTACATAAAAATAAGAGATAGCTATTTAAAAAAATTAAGTGGATGCCTATTGACTGGGAAATAGCTTAACAAAGTATAGTGTATGGATGTAATAGAACATTACTATACTGTAAAAATGATACATATGAAGAATTCAGAAATTTGGGTGATTAATAAAACGAAACCAAGAGAACAAATTGAATGATGACTGCAATAACATGAAGGAAAACAACACTGAAAAACTTCAGAACTCAAAGTAGTGACCAGTTATAATGGTAAAACATAGATTGTGTCTCTTGGCAAGGAGGCAGTCTATTAAGGCATACATTTTCAGACACAGCCAATAGGTTGATAATTTTACTTACTTGATACAAAGGAAAGTTTAAGGAACTCAAGAAATGACTGACATAAAAAAAGAAGACCTCTCTGGGCCTGCCTTTAACGCTTGCTCCATAAAGTCATTTTTTGACACTCTACAAATAACAATGAGAGCACCTTCAAATCAAATGCATAACCATGAAGCTGTGGCCTAGTACAGAAAACAGTTTATGAAAACTTAGCTATGACATCTCATATTTTCTTAGGATACACTTGATGTAAATCAATCTCAAAATATTATAGAGAAATTATAGAGGAACACAAGTTAGTTGTTATTGATTTCCTTTTGATCCTATTTCTTTGAATAAAATGAAAAAAATTATTCTTTGGTAGCAATTCTGTATGTAATTTTTTTCTGATAATAATCTAGTATCTTCCCCTTTTTCAGATATCTTGAAAATTTATCTCTCAATGCTTTCAAAATTGGGGTGGCTCTAGCACAGATATTTTTCTGTATGTACTTGGTCCAGTTCTGCTTTTCTTCCAAAGTACAAATATGATGATTTCACTATCATCAATAATGAAAATGGCTTATTACAAAAATATTGGTCAGCATCTTATTTTCCTTATTTTAATATTGAACAGAACTGTAATAGCTGCTTATAATAACTCAGACTCATCCTAAAGCATCAAAAGGGCCATGGAAGGACTGACGTTGACCCCTGTAAATTTCATGAGAGCAGGGATAATGGTTGTTGAATGAACACTTGCTGATTGATAGCCTTCACTATAAATTTTCATAGAATTTGCCATAGCATGTAAACTAGAAAAATGTCAAATGCATGGATGTGTATGCAGTAGAAACTTACATTATCAAAATATGTTTCTCTAAAAAGACTTAAATGTTCCTTAAGAGAATTTGGTAGTTAATTTTACTGAGTATAATTTATCTCATATCACTCTACTTTGTCAGACAACTTGGACTGAAATATTAAAATTTTAGTGTAAGCTAAGGAAAAATGAGGAATTTGTAAGATTGAGAGGCAAAACTAAAATACTAAAAAAAAGAGAGATAAAAACCTAAACAAAATCTAAACACAGATACTTTGAAAATTTTAAAATATTCACTTACTTTCAACATTCTGCAAGTAATTCATCCAAAACCCCACAGCTCTGGTGTCCTGTGCTTCAGACAATTTGTGCATAGTAAAAAGATCACTAAGGATTTTGGTTGTAAGTCTCTCAGGCTTGTGACATAGGACACTATAAAATGCTTCTGGATATTTCTGCATTGTTTCCAACACACCAAGAGTTCTCAAACCCTGCTGAAAACTAAAGAGGAGGGAAAAAAAGAATGAATCCATTGGGGGGTTGGGGGGGAGGGGAGAACATTGGTTTTGTTTTGCAAACATTCAGGAAGATGAAAAAATTTATTTCCAGCTGAATGTTTTCTGACTAGATTTTCATGAATAATTTGTTACAAAAGACCTAAGGTTTGACATCAGTATTTTAGAAAACATTTCATTGTATTTTAGCATTCAGTAGTTAAAGTGGAACTTCTTTATAATCTTGAAGAGATAGGACTAAAAGCCTACCTTTATAAGCTAACCACACTAGATGTATATTTATGTACATTCGAGTCAATACCTGAATTGAATACCCATATTCAATGTACCATATTAGGTGCTAAGGATATAAGAGTAATAAATCTAACTTGGAGGTGGGGGAGAATAGATAAAATAAGTAGTCAGATAATTATGACATAAAAAAAGGCAACATCTATGTCAAGTGCTAAAAAAAATGTAGGGTGCTAGACACAAAAGCAAGAGCAAGTAACAAGATGAATATGAGATTGTGCTAAGACATTGAGAGAATAGTGATAGGAGGACTAAGGCTTAGAAAAAGCCAAGGCTGTCTTGAAAAGCTAATAAGGATAAGCAAAGAGATTAAAAAAACAAACAAACCATAACTATGGGGAAAGAGGGAATCAAAGAAGGAAAAGACCTCCTACTTTGGGTGGGAAAAATGATGACAATAACAGAGGAGGCACAGCTACTGAATTCTTACTTTGCTGCTATTTTGGGGCAGCTAGATGGCACAGTGAATAGAGTGCAGGACCTAGAGTCAGGAATACTCATCTTCATGAGTTCAAATCAGTCCTTATACACTTATTAGCCATGTGACCCTGGACAAATCACTTAACCTCAGTCACTCGCCTCAATCTCCTCATTTGTAAAATAAGCTGGAGAAGGAAATGGTAAACAACTCCAGTATCCTTGCCAAGAAAACCCTAAATTGGATCATGGAGAGTCAGACGTGACCAAAAAACAATTGAATAACAACTTGCTGCTATTTCTCTGACAAAAATGAACTTCAGTTTACAAGGAATGGAACAAAAAATGGCTCAGAGAGTTGATACTCAAGCTAAGCAATGAGCAACAAGCCAAGCAACTTAGTTACCCTTTGGTGAATTTAAATTATCTATTTCTGATAAACTAAATAAATTCTCAGGTATGGAAATAGCTGACATTTAATAGTTGATTCACTGTAGGAGAAATATAAAAAGTTGGACAGAATACAAAGGCAACATGGGCTTACAGACCAAGTGCTGTCCAAATTTTCATTTCAAAGAAAGAAAAGAGAATATGTAAACTACAGACAGTAAGCTTGACTTCTTGGTAGAATTGTAGAATGTCTTAATAAAGAGGTGGTTGTTTTTGTTGTGTTCTAGTCATATTTCAATTGTTTCTGACTTTTCTTGACCCCTTTTGGGGGTTTTCTTGGCAAAGATACTGGAGTGGTTTGCCATTTCTTTCTCCAGCTAATTTTACAGATAAGGAAACTGAAGCAAACAGGATTAAGTGACTTGCCCAGGGTCACACCAGTGGTAAATGTCTGAGTCTGGATTTGTACTCAAGAAGATGCCCTAATTTTTCCTCCTTACATTTGCTTTCACAAAAAAACAAAAAACAAAAGACCGAAAACCAAAATCTCCCGGAAAGATTGTTGCAAATGGTTGTTGAAATCAAACTATTATATATAGTAGTCTTCACAGTTTCAAGACAAGCCAGAGAGAGGAGAATTCCTTGATTCTAAAGAATGGAAGAATACATAACAACCTGCTGTGTATTTCAGAACCCCTATTTTGTCTGTGGCAGTAAAATATTTCTAGATCAGGGATCTTAAACTGGTGAATCTGCAGATAGATTTCAGGGGCCCTAGGAACTTGGATGGAAAATAAATTACACCTTTACTTTAACTCACCTCTACCTGGAATTTAGCCATTCCCTCAATTTATTTTATGCATTTAAGAACATTCAGGCTTTATTAGACAGCTTATGGGGTCTATGACACAAAAAAAGTTTAAAAATCCCTGATCTACTTAATGTCAAAATGTTTCTCTCACTGGACTTCCTGATTATGAGACCACCAAGATGAAAGTCTAGATATTTTCTTTCATCTCCATGACCTCTCAAATCTCTCTAAAACAGAAATAATATACCAAAGAGAATGCCACTTTTGCCATCTCCATGATTTAGGACAATTCAGAATCCAAAAGAAGGTAAACAAAACAAAACAAACAAGAAGCCCAAGAACTAATCCCTACCTTGAATTTACTTCAGACCCCTTCCCCATTACTCAAATGAGCAGCAGTGAGGCTACTGTAGCACACCAAGGAACTAAACCATGGGCTTGAAATAAAACCCAATGACCTAGTACATAAGCTTGTAATAAAACTCAACCCTACAAATTGAGAATGTAAATAAACAAAAGTACAAGAAAACCTGGAAGAAAAGCAACAAAAAACAGTAATATTAAAAGAAAATATGCTTACTATCCAACCAAAATATATTGATCTTGAAAAAAAGGATGCAAAGAGACAAACTAAGGATCATAGGTCTCCCAGAAGAACATGAAAGGACAAAAACCTTAACACCATAATGCATTAAGTAATACAAAAAACTGCCTAGAACTTCTGAACATAGGAAATGAAATACCAATTGAAAGAACTGATAGATTGGGTCTCAAACCAAACCAAAACAAAAAAATCAAGGCTGTAGACTCCATGACAAATAGTGATTAAATATAACCATTCAATTCAGAAACAACAAGTTCTGCAAGGAGAAAAACCTTTATGTACAAAGGAAAGGAATAACATCAGACTATTCTGCACCAGGTAGAAAACACTGGAGTAGATAGATTAATATGTTCCAAAGAAGAATGGGGCTCAGGAAGCAGCCCAGGGTGACCTATCCTGCAAATTTGAGTTTAACAATAAACGGAAAAATAAAATGGAATAAAGAGACATTTGAAACAATTTAAGAAAGAAAGCCAGAACTCAAGAGATTTGCTTCTCAAACACCCCGGAAAACAGAAATGCAAGAGGTGTGAACACATGCAGCAGCCAAGGACAACAACAGCAATGGAGTCACATCAGAGAAACTAGTAAGAGACTTCCTTCTAAATATACATAAAGAGATGTAGGAAAAGACATAAGTCATGTGGAGTTAAAGACACAGGCCGGGGGCATTGTGGACAGAAACAATGATGCCCATTCTGTGTACTATTAGTTGAGATAGTTCTGGAAATGCTAGCAACAGTTATAAGACAAGAGAAAGAAATTAAAGGTAAAAAGTAAAGAGGAAACAAAACTGTCCTTATTTGTTGATATGATGGTAAATTTGGAAAATCCTAGGAAATCAACAAAGGTACTAATTGAGACAATTAAAGCTTCAGCAAAGTTGCAGGCTACAAAGTAAACCTTCAAAAGGCAACAGCATTTCAACAAAATCCAAGAAGCAAAAATAGAGAAATCCCATTCCAAATAATTACAAAATGCAAAATATATGTGGAGAGGGACCTACCAAAAAACACAAAAGATTTATAAAGATTCAATTATAAAGTTCTCCTTAAAGAAAGGAAGTTTAAATAGCTAGAGGAATATTCACTGCTCATGGTTAGGCTATGCCAATATAATAAAAAGGACAATATCTGGTATTGGGGGAGAGAGAGAGAGAGCGAGAGAGAGCGAGCGAGAGAGAGAGACAGAGAGAGAGAGAGAGAGAGAGAGAATGGAACAGACTAGATAAAGGAGAATCAGAAATAATAGAACTCAATAAGCCAGTATTTGATAAAATGGAAAACATAAGTTACCTTGGAAAAACCTCCTCATTTAATAAAAATTGCTGGGAAAACTAGAAAGCAGCCCAAAATAATTTTTTTTAGATTGAGACCAGCACCTTATATCATATTCCAGAATACATTTTAAATGGATGGCCTTAATATTAAAGATCATATTACTTAAAAATTGAAAGAGAATAGATCATATACCTCTCATGGGTATGATGGGTAAGAGAGATATTCTTAACCAAACAAGTGATAGTGGCAATTACAAAAGATAAAACTGATAGCTTTGATTATTTGAAACTGAAAAAGCTTCTGCACAGACAAAATTAATCGATCTAGGATAAAAAAGGAAATGGTCAAATAGGAAAAAAAATTTTTTCAATCAAATTTCTGGGATTAATGTCTTTTTGTTGTTGTCATTTCAGTTATATTCAAACTCTTCCTGACCTCATTTGGAGTTTTCTTGGCAAAGATACTAAAGTGGTTTGCCATTTCTTTCTCCAGCTCATTTTACAGATGAAGAACTGAGGCAAAAAGGGTTAAGGAACTTGTCCAAGGTCATACAACTAGTAAATGTCTGAGGCCAGATTTGAACTCACAAAGATAAGTCTTCCTGATTCCACACCTGGCTCTCTATCCACTGTGACACCTACCTGCCCCTATTTGTGTCTGACAGCCAAGATATATAAACATTTAATAAGTGTATATAAGACTAATAGCCATTCCTTAATAGTGGTAAAAGGATATGAACAAAAAGTTCTTAAAAGAAAAATTACAAAGTATTCACAACCATATGAAAGAATGCTCCAGTAATGCCAATCAAAACAACCTTGGGTTTTTGTCTCACACCCTGAAAATTGACAAAGATGACAAAAAAAGTAACAGTCGATGTCTGCAGGGGTTGTGGGAAGATAGGCACACTGATTGATACCTTGTTGGCGGAGCTGCAAAATGGTACAACCATTTTACAAAGCAATTTGAAAAATAAAGAGCAAATAATGTGACTAAAATGTCTACATCCTTTGAACCAGAGCTTCTATTACCAGGTTTATACCCCAAAGAATCCACTGATAAAAAGAAAACCTCCATATACAATAAACATTTATAGCAGCACTTTTCGTGATAACAAAAATTGGAGGGGCAGCTAGGTGGCGCAGTGAATAGAGTTGGGGCCTTGGAGTCAGAAGGACCTGAGTTCAAATTCAGCCTCAGAAAATTAACACTTACTAGCTGTGTGACCCTGGCCAAATCACTTAACCCTGATCACCTCACCAAAAGGAAAAAAAAAAGAAAAAAAGTGGAAACAAAACAGATACCCATCAATTGGGAATGCAAATTGTGGTAGATAAATGTAATGGAATTTTGTATGTGATGAATAGAAAGAAGCATGGAAAGCTCTACATGAATTAATATACTTTGAAGTAAGTAAGTCCAAGAAATCAAGATACACAGTAAACTACAAAAATATAAATGGAAAAGAATCACCACCTACCAAAAAATCAAAAGTGAATGTAACAAAATTATAAAGATCAAGTAGGATTTGAATTAAGAGACATGAAAGAACATCTCCAACCCACCCCCTTTCATGGAGCTAAGAGATCCATAGATGTTACACACTGCACATATTTTCTAACTTTTTTTTATCAAACAGTTGTGCTCATTTTTTTCCTCTTTAAAAAAATTCTATGTGTTAAACAGCATGTTTCTCTGGAGGGGGAACAGACACTGGGATAACTATGACAATCTAAGAAACAGAAGGCATCAATAAAAATTTATTTTTAAAAAGTTTATCTCTGACTGCATCCCTTTTCCTTTCCATATCAAATCCCAGTTACCTGGACATGCCATCTGGGTGCTATTATCAGTTTTAGTAAAACTGTACTAAACCATTTTATTTGTTTTGTTTACTATAATAAAAGTGATACAGAATAGGCCTTAAAATAATAATAGCTAGAATTTATATACTGCTTTAAGGTTTGCAAAGCACTTTACATATGTTACCTCATTTAACCAAAGGTATCATTCATATGTAACGGAGAAGTAGTATATTATATTCTTACACGTTCAATTGTTCTATGTTTTAATACATTTGTATGTAAAATGCATCAAAAGAACATAAAGCTTAGAAAACTATCTGGTTTTGAAGAACTATTTGAGAATTAAATTCCTGAATGTTATTATAGTAATATAAATAGAGAAGCTTAACATAAGGAATGAGTAAGGCATTTCAAATGTTAATCATTCTGCTATTTATTAAAAGATGAAAAATGTGCCCTTGAAAGCCATGATTTCAAAAATGTTAAATTTGCAATTAAAGTCAACTACGGACAAAAAGAAATGAATAGCTAGTGCCATAATATACTTTTATTATTTTTAAATTAATATTTCTGCCTTATAAAGGACATTATATGCTGAAATGATTGCTACTTTCTCCTATTACATACTAGTATCATGGCAGCCTCAGAAACTTTCAGTCACTTAACCTTGCTGAGCCTGTTTCCTCACCTGTAAAAAAGAGACAATAATAATAATAATAATGATAATGCCTGCTTCAAAGGACTATTATAATGACCAAAGAAGGTAACATGCTTTGCAAACCTTTAAGAACAAAACATGCAAGCTGTTATTGTACAATAAAACCAATTCCATAAGATAAGACCGGTAAAATTGTTGTCCATTGGAGGAGCTGAAATCCATACAAAGAGCATACTAAATGAAGCTGATTCCTATGTTTGGTATGTCATGTATGGGACCAAATATACCTTCAGTTACCAGTGAGAAACTGGGGCATGTAAATTAAAACATGTAATTCTAGAATTCCACATGCAAACAAACCTACCTGTCCAAGGGTGCCTGCACTCTTTTAATTACATGATGGGTGAGTATGTCTTTTACTAACACATCCTTGTCACTTAGCACTGTTACAAGTCTTAGACATCCAATGTGAGACAGGTATTCAAAGCAATCACGTATTGCTGACCTTAAGTGAGTCAAAGTTTTTGAACTTTTTATCTGCACCAAGAGAAAATAAACATATATATATATATATATATATTTACTAGAGATGTGTATGCCTTAAACAAATCTTATCTACTGCTTTATCTCTACTTTGGATTACATTTGAGAAATTAAAACTTTTTTCAAGCTAAAAGTTTAACAAATACTTCAGTGATTAATAATAGTAATTTTCTGTTGCAAAATACAGTTCCCTGAATATGCGATAAGCTACAATCAGGAAGCATACAAATCCATCCCTTGTCTTAATCCTAAGCTATGGCGTTTAAATTTACCAAATAATGCATGCTCTTAATTATGTTTTCATGTACATTGGTAAAGTTCTTACCTTGGTTATTATTTGCATCATATTACTGTCTTCAACATCTTCTAGAGTTGGCTCCACATTCTCTGGTCCACAGACAAGGCAGTTAAATAATGTTTTAGAAAACAAAAATGGCGGTGGCCCACCATGCACCAAAGAAATGGCAATCATTCTACCAGCCTCAAAGTAGAGATTCTCTTTAAGAGCTGTAAGTGTAGATGAAAATTGAGGATTCCTTAAATTTTAATTTTTAAATTTTTATTTATTTTTTATTTATCTATATAAAATAAATATATTAATCTATTTAATTTTTACTTAACTATCATTTTAATAATAATAAATACATTTAAATGAAGAAAAATATAATCCAAAATATGGTAAAGTAAAACATCAAAATATAAAGGAATAAACAACTAGCTAGCCAGAACTGTCAAAGCTTAGAATTGTATAAGACAGACCTCTACTGAATTTGTTGAAAGGGTTTTAAAATACCAGGACAACCTCTTCACTATGGATTTATTTGTACCATGCTAATACAGATTCTAGAATGTTTCTAAGGGGAACTTTGTGATTTATCAATACGGAGCAACAGGAACTTGATAAATTTTTGCTGAATTAGGATTCCCAAAATGGTGAGTTAAGGGAAACATGAGAGGAAGAAAATTCTGAAGCATAATTAAATTTTTTTTATATCATCTCCAACTTCCACTTACAGCAGGGGTTTGCTGGTATTTATTCTCATCATGAAGACCTAACATAAGCAATGGTGGCATAGAAAGGTCTTACAAATTAGATATTTTGTCTAAGAATCAATATTGCCCAAATCATATTTAGAAGCTATGTCCACTAATTCATAGGTTTTATTTTTAGTCACGTGAAGTAATGAATATTAAGTTCTTTAACCAAATCCTATCAAATAAGCAGCCATTCAAATTGCCTACTCTAAGTTAAATAAGGGGCAGATAGATGGCTCAGTTAATAGGGTCCTGGATGTGGAATCAGGAAGACCTGAGTTCAAATTCAGCCTCAGACATTTTCTAACTATATGACCTGGGGCAAGTCATTCAACCTCTGCATAGGAGGCAGCTAAGTGGCTCTGTGGATATAGCATTGGGCCTGGTATCAGGAAGACCTAAGTTCAAATCCGACCTTAGACACTTAATCTGTGTTATTCTGGGCAAGTTATTTAATCTGTTTGCCTTAATCCACTAGAGAAGGAAATGGCAAACCAGTATCTTTGCCAATAAAACTCCATGGACAGTAAGTATGGTCCACTGGGTCATGAAGAGTTGGACACTACTGAACAAAATAACAAAAGTTAAATAAAGCAGTGTAAAGAAAACCCCTCAATTTCAAATGGTAAATTGCATTTTGTCATAGAACCAGAGAATCTCATGACTGAAAGAGAATCACTACAGACATCCTCAACAAAAGAAAATAATTCTTTCCCAAAATTTACTGTACTAAACCTATTTTTCTATTATACTCTTTCTTAGTAATGAATGAATGAAAAAATGCTTCTTATATTCCAAGCACTATGCTAAGCTCTGGGGATACAAACGAAAAAAGCAAGTTAGTCCCTCCTCTAAAAAATTCATACTCTAATTGATAGAAACAGCACATAAAAAGTATATTCAGCTGCAGGATGGATGGAAAGGCCTCAAAGTTCTAAGGCTGCAATGGAGGTGAGGATGGCAATGCCCAGATGTAAATTCCATTTTAATATTTTAAATCACAGTTGCTAATTTCTGTTTTTAACTTCTTGTTCGTTTATTTCTTTATACTAGTTAATATACTAAGCATGCTTAATTATAAATAAAAGGTTTACCTTCAGAATTAAGGGACAAGTTCTTTGACATGGACCCTTCAAATAGTGATGAGCTCTCAAGCTGTCCCATTAAAAGGCTTAAGAATTCATGCTTTGATCCATCAGTATCTCCATTTCCATTACAGAACTGTACCTCAATTGCATCTGATGGATTAAAGTTTCGCCTTCTGAATCCTTTTATGGCACTATTCCAGATATTTTCTTTGTTGATATAGAGTTTTCGAGTTTTTTGTTTAATTTGGTATCCTAATTCTCTCAATATGTTGGAAATGTCTCTTTTCAACATGCTGACTTCCCTAAAAAATATGAATTTAAAACATACATATATTCTGCATATGCAATATAGTAGTTATAGCTAGAACATGAGAATAGGGAATCACAAGAAGGCATTCCTTATTTGCAAACTGTAACAGCTGCCATCCCACCCAACTAACTGCCATTTTAAAACCTGAGTTGCCACACATACTCCTTCCTAATCAGAAGTACTTATGTCAAATATAAGAATATTTGTTTATGAGGGTCCTAACAAACTTTAAATTGAAAACTTGCCCCCACTCCTAGTGAATGCAGTCTTCCAGATAAGGGTTCAAAAGGTCTTTTTGTTGGCTACTCTTCACAATACAAAAGTTTATTTTTCAAAATGCTTTCACATGAATTATCTCATCTCATCTTCACAAAATCCCTGAAAGGAATAAAGGGCCGATTTTATTATCTATGTTTAATATATAAGTGGTAACTAAGAGATTATGTTATTTACTTAAGGTCAGTCATATGGCTACTTTGCTGAACTGCCTGATTTACCATAATTGCTCCCTCTGAAAAAGTTAATTTGCCTATCAATGAAGGCTAGTAGCAATAACCTAAACATTTTTCCTGGGGTCAGTACAAACTTATAACATGGGCTCTTAACAATGATCATATAAACAGAGTATGCATCTCTCCTTAAATTTCCTGGACCCAGAAAATGTATGCCCTTCCCCTGGCTATTTGAAACCTTAAGCACTGGCTTAAAAGGATAACATTTAAAGCACTCTAGAAGAATAACAGGAATAGCTGAGCAGAGGGAGCAAGGATAGCCACTGCTTATAAGGTTGGAAAAGAGGCTAAGCTGGTTGGTCTTTAAGGACATTATGATAGAGTTTTTATTATTTTTTTCTTAACAGTATTCTAATACAACATTAGCTATGGCAAGGTACTTATAAGCAACTGGATTTCCCAGACCCAGCTCCCATCCTCCATCTCTGAAAACAAGATCTGATACAAGGGTATTCATTCAGATGCACTTTCCCTGTCTCTCCTATTCCTCTCTAGTTTTCTTTTAATTTTCAAAAGAATATTTAACAGTAATGTCTTTTGCATTTTTTTTTTTTTGGTGAGGCAATCAGGGTTAAGTGACTTGCCCAGGGTCACACAGCTAGTTAAGTGTCCAGTGTCTGAGGCCTATTTGAATTCAGGTCCTCCTGACTCCAAGGCCAGAGCTCTATCTACTGTGCCACCTAGCTGCCCCATGTCTTTTGCTTTTATATCACCTTCATTTCCAAATATCTCCTTCTTCTTTCTCTACTCAGAGAGCCATAAAAAGAGAAAAAAAAATTCAACAAAACCAACCAGCACATCAACCAAATCTCACAGTATATGCAATATTCCATACCAATAGCCCTCTACCTTTCCAATAAAAGGAGATATATTTTCTAATTTCTTCTTAGAACTGAGTTTAGTCATCATAATTACACAGGTTTTTTTTTCTATTTACACATTGTTATAATCACAGCTTAGTTTTTTTGGTTCTGCTCTCTCCACTCTGCATCAGTTCAAGTAAATAGAAATCTTTCCATCCTTTTTTGAATTATTAGTTTTCATGATTTCTTATCGTACAGTAATTTTCCATTACATTCGCTTACTAAAATTTGGTCATTTCCCAATTAATAGGCATCTACTTTGTTTCTAGTCTTTTCCTACCACAAAAAGCACTACCAATACTGTGCAAATTTTGATGTAAATATAAACCTTCTGTATTATATATCCTTGGGACATACGTCTTGTAGTGGAATCTCTGAGTCAAGGATATGGACATTTTAATCATTTGTTTTTAAAAGCATAATTCCAAACTGCTTTTTCAGAATGGTTGAGCTTCACAATTCTAAAAAAGTGTATGTGTGCCTGTCTTTCTGCAAACCCTGAAAATTGACCATTTTCATCCTTTGCCATCTTTGCCCATTTACTGGGTATGAGGTAATACCTCAGAGTTGTTTTGATTTTCATTTCTATTATTAGTAATTTGAAGGTACCTTTCATATGGTTCCTAATAGTTTGCAATTGTTCTCTTGAGAACTATTTGTTCATATCTTTTAATCACTTAACCACTGGGAAATGGCTCTGAAGTGATTTTGTGTTAATTCTCTACGTATCTTAGATATCAAACCTTTTTTAGCAGAAGTATTCCCCGCAATCAATAGCTCCCCTTCCTATCTCAGCAGGTTAAATTGTTTGTGCGAAAGTGTTAAAATATCATCCTTCCCTAGCATTTGCAATCTGCCTCTATGTTTACTCAGTGACTCTCTCACTCTTTCATTCTACTTTCACTCTCTCAATAACCATGGTTCACTGCCAGATGCTCCTTTATCTCTCTCTCTCTCTTGCATACTGTTCTAATATGCCAACTCCATTTTCACTCTTTATACATCATAAATATCCACAGCAACTTATTCTTGTATATCCATTACAAATCATCATCAGACCCAATGGGAGACATTCTGAGGGAGTAGTAAGAGGGAAGAGTTTGGAATCAAAATATCTAGATTCTAATTCCAAATCAGCTACTTGCTGTGTGATCTTGGCAAGTCATTTAACTTCTCTCTCTGGAACCTCAGTTTGTCATTTCTAGAATGAAAGAATTAGATTAAATTACCTGGAAGATCCTTCTCCATTGCTAAAGCTATTATTCTCTTATGGGTATGTATTTTTGTATGTAAGGGAGGGTAGTAAGAGGTAGAATAATAAACTTCCCACCTTCCCCCAGGGTTATTAGCCCTAATAATATCGTCTCCTTCCCCTGGTTGTAATGAGAGGCTTGTCCTAGACATGGCACCACCTCAGATGGATTCCAAAAGATAAGGATACAAAAATATTCACAATAATGTAATATGATAGCAAAAAAACCAAAAAACCAAAAACCAAAAACAACCCCAAAAAACTGAAAACAAAGTGAGTAGTAGAATGACTATAATGGAATATTATTGCACCATAAGACACTATGGATGTAAGGAAGTCAGAGAAAGGTGAGAGTACTTGAATGAACTAAAAAGCTTAGTAAAATAAACAGAACCTGGAGAATAATATATACATAATATCTATAATAATGTGAATGATGACTAACCAAAAGGAATTCAAACTCTGAGTAACTACAGTGACTAATCTTATTTCTAAAAAAGAGATGACAAAACATACCCTCCCCCTTTCTAGTAGAGAGCTGGAAGGCAATAGGTTCAAAATGTCAGATATGGTTATTGTCCATTCATTTAGCTTGTTTGTATCTTACAAAAGGAAGGCTCAATGAGGTAGGTACATGAGAGTGGGGAGATACAAAAAAATGACTGTTGTGAAAACAAAGGTATCAACAAATCTCAATTTTTTAAATTAATGAAAGAATGGCAGTCTCTATTACAAGATAGAGAGAACATTGGCCTTGAAACAGATTTATTATAACCTAGATTCTTCAATAATTCTTTATGGAGAAAAGTAGGCAGTCCCTCTAATAGATAACTGGTGAAAGTATGTGGTCATAGAGTTAAATATCTACCTGTCATGAGGTCTGAGTTTAAATTGTGAGTTCATGTACCCAATCACCAGTTCCCACTTCTGATACTGACAATAGAACATTCCACACTTTGCCTGAGGGCATCTCCTACTTAGTAAACTTCAAAAGAAGTAGCCATAGTTGTTCCCTTGTTCTTTCTACCACCCCAATATTAAACCTTCCAAAATCACTGGGAAGACCTGATTCCCATTACGGTGCTGTCACAGACCCAATTCCCTTCCTATCACTATGAAGGCATACACTCAATTACCTTTTGTCCCTCATATTTCTAGTGCTCTATACTCATTTTTTACATATACCCAATAATTATTGGACCCTCAGTTTTATCTTTCATATTCATGGTCTATTTTACTCATTTATTAACTAAACATTCTAATTCTACTCTTCATGAAAAAGTTCCCATCTTTGCTCATCTCCAATTCTACTTCAGTAATCACCTCCTCTTTGTCCCACCCCGACAACAGAAAAAAAAAGATAACATCTAGATCAGGTGTTCTTGACCTTTTTTGTATCATGGACCCCTTTGCTGGACTAGTGATGCCTATGGACCTCTTCTCAAAATGCTGCTTTAAAATGCATAAAATAAAATATATAAGATTACAAAGGAAATCAATTATATTGAAATACAATGATAAAAGTACACTTTAAAACATGTTTACAGAACTTAGCTTAAAGATCTTGATTTAGATCCTAAACCTAATGGGAGATCATTTAAGATTATAGATAGTTTTTTATAATCCCCTACCATTTTTAACCATAATATATGCTAGCAAATAAAAAAAAGTAGTATTTCTGCAATATACCTTTTAGTAGTAGAAGGATTCTTTGCAGCAACATTAATAAGTGGTGGAATTAACCTGAGTCTTCTAGAACATGGTGGTCTATCTAAACAGGAATTAGGAGTCAAGCTTCCTTGACGTAATATCTTTGGTGACCTAGAAAGAAGAATTATTTCAAAAATGAAAACATTTCTGTACTTTCAAACAAGAAACATTCACTTAATAATAATAGGTCCTTAAGTTTTTACTTATAGTATACAGCATGTTCTAGAAATTGTTTAGAATTATTCTAAATTTGTTTTATCTCAATGCATCCACAGCAACATGCCAATAGGCAAACCTTCAGAACAATGTTTAAAATGCTTCATATTCCTCAAGTCTAATGATTACATCTTCACAGCTTTTCCTTTCTCTTCTGAATCTCTTTACCTACTCACGCAACATGGCATAGTGGATAGAGAGCTGGTTTTGGAGTCAAGGAGACTTGAGTTCTACTTTGAACTCTTACTCCGGCTGTATGACCACTGGCAAGTCACCTCACCTCCTTTCAGTGTTCCAGGCAACTCTAATATTGTAAATTACAAAGATAGATCAGTCTGCACTGGTAGAGGAAGTTTCCAGGAGCTCTCTACAAAAAAAAACCTCTCCCCAAAAAAATCACTTTTTCATTATGTATTGTTGTCCTCTGTTTTTCTAGAAAGAATAATGAATTCATATACAACGGAGAAATAAGCATAGGATTTCTGGGTCATGTGGGCATTTATTTTTCCAATCTCCATGACTTTTTAAACCTCCCCAAAACAGAAATTATGCACCAGAGTCAAAATAATTTCAGCTGCTTCTATGGTCTGGGACACCAAAAATCCAAAAGAAGGTTAAAAATAACAACAACAACAACCAGGAACTGATGCTCACTGACCCTGAGCTCACTTAGCACCCCTCCCCTACTTCCCATGCTCCTAACAGCAAGACTGTACTAGAGGATCCAAGGACATGACACAGACATATCAAAACACTTTCCTACAACTTGTCCCTGTAACCCTCTTCTTTCCAATGTCATGGAGATCCTGGCTTTAGGAAACTAGAGAATGTACAACATTTGCTTGGCAGCCAGCTTGGTCATAGCTCTTTAGAAGCAAAAGCCTGCTGGAGGTTGCAGCCTAGAAGCAAAGCGCTCAACTGCCAGTGCCAGACCAGAGAACTGAGGAATAGACGAATAGGACAAGTCACTAGGAGAGGACCCCAGGCATGTGGAGGTTGTGTAGTACTCTATCAAGCCTGAGGGAAAGAGTACCCAGATGGGGCCAGTTCTGACCACCCAAAAAGTCAGCTGCGGCAGAGATCTAGGGTGGTGAACTAGGAATTGTTCAATGTGGGCAGAGGCCGAGATGTTTTGAAATCTACTCAACAAGCATTTATTCAGTGCCTACTATGTTCCAGACACTTGGAACAGAAAAAGTGAAACAGTCTGTACTTTTAAGGCTCTTACAGCCGAAATGGAGGTTGGGGGGAGGGAGAGGTGGACAACACGTGTGTCTCGTGCTCGCATGAGCACGTGTATGTAGAATAAACAACAGAGGAAGGCACTAGCAGCTGGGAGGAGGGAAGGGGTAGGATCTGTAAAGCCTTTATGTTAAGGTGGTGCTTTAATTAAGCCTTGAAAGAAACAAAAGTATTTCAAGAGGTGGAGGTAAAGAAGAAGCATATTCTAGGCATGAGGAATTGCCAGTAAAAAGAGCCATGTATCAGATGAAATGAAGAGTTGTTTGGGTGTTATTGCCACTGCAATCTGAGCATCACTATTTTAGGTGATTAAAATTTCATTATCATCTAAAGATCAAATTCTATTCTCATTTAAGTCACCAACTGTGAATGACCATGTAGAGAGCAAATTTTTCTCAAGCACAATTATTCAATAGTCATTCACTAAATGGATAAAAACTAATTAGCATTTTACTATTATGAATTAAATAATACATTGTGTTTATTATATTTAATGTTCAAAATAATTTTGATATTATTGTGTTTGTATGTATAGAAAATGTACCTACTGTCATGTGATCTGCAAATCTAAAGTATTCATTATGTTTAAAAATGACATGGCACATATCAACATTTACTGATTATTGGAAGATAAAAAACAGCAGTTTCTCCAGTCAGTCCTTTGCCTTCCCTAGGTCCTCCTAGTCTTAGTTCATTACAATACATATTAGTAAAGTTTTCTACTTTCTATATTATCAGTTATTTAATATCCATGTCTCCAAACTTCTCTTAACATCAACATTTTCACCCTGGAGATGTGTCTTCTATAAGGCCCACTCTTTTAAAGTCCCTACCCTGGACCACCATTTTATGTGTGATCCAGGCCACATTAACTTACCTCAGCACCACTATTCTCTAGATTTCATTCCTCAACTTGTACCTTTCTCTCCCCTGCTTTCCAGCTGTTTTTTCTTCCCTCATCATAAAGTTAAGTTCCTTGAGGACAGGGCATTTATATCCCTAGAATTTAGCACAGTGCCTGGCTCACAGTAATCACTTAACAACTGTTTTATCTATCTATTTAGCATTTAACATTCTAAGAGGAATGTTCTATCATTTCATATTATAACCTGCTCCAATCAATTTTTCTTCCCATATAAATTACGTACCTGAGCAAATCTTTGTTCTGAGTTCTAGGGGACTGTCTGGAGAATTTGGGAGAGGGCTGCTCCAACAAACAATTAGTAATTCCAATATTTTCTGTGTTAGGTAGAGAGCGTTTTTTTGGTCTTTTGAAATCCCCTACAAAATTAAATTCTAGTGTTAGGTAAGAATATTTTGAAAAGTAGTAAGTGGCTGAATAAAAGCATATTGATTCAGAACTAGAAAACATTACCTGAATTGTAGATAATGCTTCTGCACTCAAAGCATTCCCAGTTTTGTCTCCATGTTCTTATTGAGGAACAGGCTAGATGTGTTCCTCTAGATCCACAATACTGGCAGCGTTTTATTTCCCATTTACTAAGGAAATAAGGGAAAAGAGGTAATTATGTTTAGTTATTAACACATGAATAAGACACAATTTTACAGCACTGCTATTCTTAACCACCCTCCACTTCCTTTGCAATTGTTCACATATAGATAGATCATCTGCTTTGGGATTATTTTAATCCTTCATTTTCTTGTCTTTGCTATTCTGTAAATTTGCAAACCTCCTCCTCTGCTAACTAATGCCTTTAAAGGAAATGTGTACAAATTTTAATACATACACACACACACATACACACACATACACAATACTAAAAAGAATAGAAGAGCAAGCATTCCTTTGTATTTGAAGATGCGGACTGATAAAGACTGACATTTTTATAGAAGCTGAAAAAAAATAGTGAAGCTGAATAGCTAGATAAAACCCCCAGATGAGGTGATTTGGCTCTGATTTAAGTGAGGCACATGTTTATGCTATCTTTTTTATTACAGGGTAATATTTATTACATGGTACAGTGCAAGTTATGCTGGATTTAAAGTCAAAGGACACGAGTTCAAATTCTAACTACCATTTTTCCTGTGTATCAGTATGTAAGTAACTTAATTTCTCAAAGTCTCAGTTTCTTCATCTGCAAAATAAAGCTGTTAGGTTAAATAGCCTAAAGACCCTTTCAACTATAAATCTTACTTCTAAGACCTTTCTCATTGGTGGTGAATGTGTTCCTGAAAAAGGACACTCAGACACACAAGTGACAATGCTGGTGCATCACTGAGGCAACCAAAATCTCCCTTCTCTAACAGGCTTGCCATGATAAAGGAACAGTTTTAGATTTATAGAAAATAAAATTAGAAGATTACAGAATGAAAGACACACAATAGGAGTCCATCAAAATTTTAAGTTTTAGTAATAAAACATTTGAAAATGATACATGACACCTGTATTAATAAGATCCAACTATCAAATAATATGTGAGAATTGTTTTCCCACACTGTAAGTTGTATTTTGCTAATTTGTTTAACAAACATTCAGGATCGTTATAGAATCCTAGATTTAAACTTGAAGGAAGCCCAGGGGTTACCTGGTCCAACCCCTTTATTTTATAGCTGAGGGAGGGAGGTGTGGTCACTTGCCCAAGATCACACAGGTAATTAGTATAAGAGGGTGGACTTGGATTTGAACTCAGGTCCCATGACCTAGAAAAAAAATAAAACCCACTACTTTTCCTTTTATGTACCAGAACTGTATCAGATTGAGAAATAGAAAGATAAGGGGGAACTCTGGCACAATCTATTTAACCTTAGGTCCCAATTATATTGTTTTATCTAATCCAGTCTCCCTCTGTAAACATTGTAAGATGGATGGATGGAGTAGAATGATGAGTTAAAGTTTCTCTGTGTACCACCAGCCCCTGGCCTGTGACTTCCATACTACTTTATATATATGTATATAAACATATATAAACATATATATAATTGCTGAGCATTTATGCCTATCATACAAGTTACTCACTAGGTTTTTGTCAGCAGGTTTGTTGAAAGAATTAATATAGACAACAATTTTTACTGCAACCTTTTGTGGGAGACCAAATCCAATTCTTAAGTCATTTTCACCAATTGTGGCCATAATTGAGGATAAATTGAGTAGAAGATACAGGACAAGGAGGAAGAAACCTGCTGTCTCATAGTTTTATATTCCAAGAAAGAAAAACTAGAGTGGAAACATAATGGAAGAAGAAACAAAAAAAGAAAATAAGATGAAGAGGGCAAAAGACTTCAAGCAAAAAATAACAAGGTAATTACAACAAGAAAAACTGTAAACAATATAGAGTTAAATAGCATTTATATTTTGAATATTCACAGTTAGATTATGCTATCATAGCTTCTTCATTAATGTTGTTTAGGGGAAAATGTCAGCAGAAGTGGGAATTAACTATAAAGATTAAATAGGGTTCTAACATTACTCCTGTATGTGTGTACTTATTAATACATTTAGAGGAAATGAATACTTATAGCTTTGGAAGCATATTAGAAACTGAGATAATTGCATTAACAGAATTGCACAGGGAGATTCAAGCAAATTCAATTTAATTGTTCTTTGTGTATGAGTGGTACAATTCAAAGTGACCCATTCAATTATATTCAATGATTGTCCTTTTAATTCAGATCCCAGCTAACTAGGCAGCAGTTGCCCTAGGACCTGCACAAATAGAAAAGGATAGGAAAAATACAGGTTGCAATACAGTGGGTGTAGGACAAAGATAACTGTGCAAAAAATAAAAATCTCTTGCTACCTTATGTTCCATGACCTCTGCACCTTTTGGGGACTAAGATCTCTCATACATGAGCCTTGATAGAGTGAGAGAGGACAGGGGAGATGGTAGAAGAGAAGACATGATCTTTCTGTTAACCAGAAAACATTCACAGACACCCTAAGTATCCTCAATACAACCTAAAATATGCTAACCTTCAGAGATTTGGGATGAATGGCAACTGGTAGAAAAAAATTACGCGCACACGCACACACACACACACACACACACACACACACATTCCACAAATGTTTCCATTTCCTCATGCTATAGAGGAAAGTACACTGGTTCTTGGGTCAGACTGTGACTTACCTACCTGTGCAACCTTGGGCAAGTTACTTAATTCCTCTGGGTCTCACTGTCTCATATCTGAAAAACTGGTTGGGAGAGAGGTGGGAGGAGGTTGACTAGATGACCTTAAGTCTTTCAGCTTTAAACTATGATCTTATGACCTACCTATTCCCATCTCCAAGTAAAAGAATGCTTATTATTACATACAGTACATATTTCTATAACAACAAATTGGATTATATATTCACAAATACCTATCAGGTTCATTATATTCTCTTCCTTCTTTACAACGACATCTTCTTACATCACAACGTTGGTAGTGCTGCAAAAGTTCTTGATATGCATTTTCTTCCAGTTCCCAAGATGCATCTCTGCAAAGTATAGATATGAAAAACCTCTGATATCATAATGACATTTAGAATCTCATGATTCTAAAAATAAAAATAAAGAATAAGAATAGACATGTATTCACTTATGTACGGATTATCCATCCTTTCAAGATTTAAATTCAGTAGTGCAATTTTTATTCTACAATTTGTTACTCCTTTAACAATGAGGTTTCAAATGTTAAACAGATAATTACAGAATTTACCATTTTTTAATGTCATCTATTATTTTTCCCACATATCTCAACTCACAGAAACACTGAAATTGTCAGAGTTGGGAAGGACTTCAGAGGCTAGTTAGTCCAACACTAACCCTAAAACAAAATGCCCTCTATGACATTTAAGACAAAGAACCACCCAATTTTTGTTTAGAGACTCCCACTAAGGAAGGTACACTACCTTCCACAAAAGTTTATTCCTCTTTTGGGAAGACATACTTTCAAAGATCCCCAAGTGATCACATCTGCCAGCTCTTTCAGTACCCTTGGACTGTAGTTCATCTGGGCCTCATGCCTTGAATACTTCAAAGACAGCTAATATTCTCATATTATTATTTTATTTATCTTGGGTATCTACTCCCCTTTAGGCAATATTATTCTGTCTCCTTCAACCTAAAGATAATGCTCCTTGGAAAAGAAACAATAGCAAAATAAAAGTTGAACACTTCAATTTTCTTTCCACCATCCAATATCATCATCTTACCCTTTCCCCTCAATATAGCTACAAAAGAAGCAAGACGAAAAACCCTTCTGGTTATGTTGTCCTAACCTTTCCTTACCAGCTTGGTTCAACTTTCTTGAACTTTCTTACACATTCTTGTCTAACCCAGGATGCCAGAGTTATGCCTTAATTTCTAAAATTTCATTTTGAAGTATATTAGACTTTTGGCATACATGAACCAATTCAAATGGTTATGCAGCTAAAATCATTTTGTATTGACTCAGAAAATACTGAAGATTAAATAGATTAAATACTGAAGATTAAATAATAGGTAAAATTCTAAAAATGCATAGCACTCAAAAACTCAACAAAACACAGGAAATATAGTATGGTTTAGTAGAAAGAATATAGAACTATGATACTTGATTTTAGTCCTGGCTTTTTTTTTTAACTTACTTGCTATGTGGCCTTGGGGAAATCATAACCTGCGTGTCATTTCCCTTGACTGTAAATAGAGGTTGGATATTATACTAAGCATACTACATATACTAAGTATATTATATATGGGATGTATGACTATATGGAATAATAATAGGATGAGATTTATCCATTTTAGCTTATGCCATTAGTTTAGGTGTCATAATATATTAGTTACTTGCATTTATCCAACTGTAAAATGAAGTAGTTAAAGAACTACTTTTCATGATCAAACACTTGGTGATTATTTTGCATAAGAAATAAGTGATAAGCTTTGGCTTCAAAGAAAAATTCATTAAAATGGATAATTATGGAAAAGAATAGAAATTCTGTTGCATGTATAAGTGGTATTATGAAAAGAATATGAACTTGATTATTTTAACAAAAGAAAACTTGCTATAGTAGAAATGTAAACTTTGAACAATTATATCTTGAAATAAATTCAAAGAGTTTTTATTACTAGAAATACCAAAAACACTTACAGCAAAAGTCTAAGAAAACACAGTCCCAATGTATATATCCATTATACCACCTATAGAAAGTGCTCTATAATAATTCTAATGTGCAGGTCAAACCTGTGTTTCTCAAAGCTTTTATTTTTCTCACAGTAAGATAAAATTTTAAATTCTATTTCACTGAGATCAGTCCCTTTTTATTTTGTTATCTAATGGACGCCTGTCCGTATTAATATTCCTAGACATACACTGATTACAATGTGTTTAGTATATTATTCTGAGTCAAAGTTATTTGAAAATTTGATAATTTTATAAGGAATGAATCTAAGGTAAATTATTTAGTAAGAACGTTAAAAATACTAGTTTAAGATGGTCTTTGAGATCTTCATTAGCAACTAACATTGAAATACTATAAATTAGGAACCCCAATAATTCTTCAATGATGAGGTTGTACAGACTGATATATTCTGTTAGGGAGGGAACAAATGACATGAAAGACAGCATGGCCAGAAGCTGCCACAGCTATCAGCCCATATTATACAAATAACTGTATTAGCTACCATCTGATAATTGACTGGGTCGGAAAACCTTGAGATTCAAATATAATTTCTTAGTTATTAAGCCCCACATTTAAAATGCTGTTTATTCACCAAGAAGCTAAAAGCAACTCACTTTTCAGGAATATGAATACCCATTCTCAACATTTCACTCTGAAATTTATCACTGTTATTGCATAATGGGCACTTGAAGAAAAATTTTCCAGCACTGAGTGCCTGAACCTATAATGGAAAGTAGGAAAAAAATTAATTCTAATCATTTATTTGGTCTGCAAGTTACATTTCTAAAAAAATAAATATTTTTTACTTTAAATAATGTGGAAATATATATTTCATGCCAATTAAAATACAATTGAAACAAAAACATACCTGTCATGAAGAACAACGAACTGTTATTACTAAAGTAATGGAATTTATGAAACATGAACAAGTTGACATTTGGTATAAATTTTTACACATGGAATGATCAAACCCTTGAGGTAATTTTTTCAACAACACTCATACGATGAATTTTTTTACTAACAGGTAATCATAATATAATAATGATATCTATGAATTGTTCTGAGACATCTTATATGTTATGTCGTAGTGGAATAAATTGGATTTTCAACATTTTTTTTCAAGGAAACATAATACTGTCACTTTCAACTGAATCAACAGCTGATTACAAAAGTTAAAGGCACAAGGAGTTTGAATGCCCACCCTGTGTTTGTAAAGGTAAGGACCTACATTCTATTCTTCTTTGTATTCCCCTCAAAGTCTTGCAAATAGGAGGCATTTGTTCAATTCCACGAATGTTGTGTAAGTGCCTGCAATGTACAAATTACTATGCTAAACTCTGAGAATTCAAAGGTGATAAAAAATAGAGCTCCTACCAAAGAGCTTACATGCAAACTGGTGGGATTAAAGGAGGGAAAGGGGTGCAGGACATACACAAATGTATATATTTATACAAAGAAGCATAATGCTTATGACAGGAGGGAATCAAAACAAAAAAAAAATAAGGGAAGGAAAAGATCACTTTAAGGTGAAAGGAATCAGGGACAGAGGTGGCACCTAAGCAGGTCCCTAAAGGATCAGAATTTTGAAAGGCAGAGATGTAGAAGGACATGAGGGAATGCCTATTCCAAATCCATGAAGGCATAAATATAGGTCAAAATATCCTAGATAACAACCAGCAGTACTGTTTGGTTGAAATGTGAAGTCCATCCAGGTTGAATAAGTATGAAAATATAAAGATAAACTCGAGTCAAAATGTAGAAGGCCTTAAATATGAGCCTAAAAAGTTGGTGTTTGATTCTTAAAGCAATAGGGAACCAACTAAAAGTTTTTGAGCACAGAACTATGTATCAGGAAAGACTACTTGAAAAGCTGTTGAATGCATTAGAGAGGGTAAATACTGGAGGCAGAGAGTATTTAAAGAACTGGTGCAGGTGATTGCTGAGTCACTATACATACATACATACATATATACACACACACACACAACACACACACATATGTGACTATGATATCTTGGAGAATGGGAAAAATATGGCAGAACTGGAAGAGAAAATTGGTCCAAATTTTTTATAAAGGAGAAAAAAAATGGAGTCTGCAAAAATTAGAGGATACTGAGGTTGATTCCTAGCAAAATTTTCAAAATAAATTACCAAAGGTATGGTTAGTTAACATCCAGAAAAAGAGGCAGTGATCACAAATAGCCAAAGTGGCTTCATTAAGTACAAGTTATGCAAGGAGAACTTTGTTTCCTTTCCTGGCAGTTACTAGAATAGAAACCTGCGGAATGCTAGAGGCATAGTTTGCCACATTTTAGCAATGCACGTCAGTGTCTCCCATGCTATCTTCGAGGAAAAGACGCGGAAAAGATGAAGACATAAGAGCTAAAACAACAGCACGTAGTTAGGGAGTTCAAAATGAATAGAATGAATGGCCCCATTAATGATTCAATGTCAAATTGTAGAGGTCTGCATAGGAGGGTCCAGTGATCTGTCTATGACCTTAAGGAGTTTAACCTTTTTATCAATAACTTGGATGAAGGCATAATGAGCACACTTTCTAAATTCGTGTATGAGCCAAAGTTGGAGGAATAATTAAAATATTATTTCAGAATAAGAATAAATTTTTTTTTCACCAGGTGCAAAATTGGGGCTGATAAAATATAAAACTTAATAGATAAAATAATTGTTGTATAGTCACTTACATTTGAAAAATAAGAGGCTTATGGACTACAAAATCAGTATCAGTCAAAAATGCTACAAAGCAGCCAGATACTTAATGAAAATTTAGGCTTCACTAAAAAAGAAACTAGGAAGGTTAAGTATCTCACTGTACCCTCCTCTGGTCAGACTTCAGCTAGAAAATAGCATTCAGTTCTGGGTACCACATTTCAGAAAGTCACTAAAATACTGAAGAGAGTCCAGGAGTGTGACCAAGATAATGAAGGGTCTTGATATCAAGAAATTGAGAATATTAACCTGGAGAAGACTTGGGGGCAAAATGATAGCAATATTTAAGTATCTAAGTGCCATTCTAGAGAAAGGGTGCTAAGTTTGTTCTGTCTGGCCCCAAAATGTAGAATTAGGGGCAATTGGTAAATTGCCAAAGGGGCAGATTTAATTTTCACTTAAAAAATTAGAACTATCTAAATAAGGACTAGGTAGTTCCCCTTACAAGGTCTTCAGTCGAGGCCTGGAAGTTACATTTAAAATTGACAAGACTGTCCTACTTCTCCACAAAATCCTTTGAGGAAATGATGTTTACATGTATCACTTAAATTCTATTGTACTGCCTCATTGTGACATAAAGGTGATCCTAAGTTCCCAAAGCTAGGTCAGCGGGAACCAAGTTCTACTAAGTTACACCGAATGTGAATATACAACCAGTCATAGACTATATGTCTGCTGTCCAAGGACCAGCCTAGAATAATTTCAAAGAAGTGACAAGGCTTCAAGGTGATTCATTTTTCAACCAAAGTACCTGGAAACCCACCAATTATGCTATAAAGGGAGCCAGAGCATGTACCATCAGAGGGTATATTTATGATAAAATTACAGATCCTCAAAGTATTGAACTAAGTATAAACAGGAACCAGAATGAAAAGACTAATTCTACCACAATTTAAAGTCAAATTTGTTAGTAAAAACTTTTTGAATAAATTATTAAAAAGCACAAACATGTTATGTTACCTGCAAACAATCTCTGTGAAACCAGGCATTTTTACAACAAGGACTTCCCAAAATGCTGTATGTTGGAAGATGTTCAACATATTCCAAACAAATGGTGCATTTTGAAGAAACTGTACAATGGCTAGACGGTGTATTCTGAACAGGCCGATGATCCCAACAGAATGATCTTTAAAGAAAAAAATGTGTCCACTTTATTTGGGCTGAAGAATTATACTTTATATAAATAAGACAAATAAGTCATTCAAGTCTCTCTCATGATTAACCAACAACAAATACATTGAAACTTGCTTTAACATTATTCTCAAAGATCTTTGGAAGGAGCTTTTAGTGATCACGTTGTCCTTACAATTAAGAAATCAGAGGCTCAGAGTGGTTAAATTACACAGCTGGGATGGGATTAGAACTTAGGTCACTGAGTGAAAGGCCAGTATTTTTTCCACTGTGCCATTAATGTTAAGAGTCATTACAATTTTGCCTCTCACACAGTATTTAAAGAGATTTGCCTTATACAGAATTCTGAGCTATAGTAAAATGTTATTTTCGGGTTGTAGTGGATTAGTAAAAACCTGAGTGTGCATGTTATTTCATAAGCTAATCTATAAGACTGCACATATGCTCAAAAGAAACTTACAACTTAAAGGCAAAATGCTTACATGCATAAAAATTAGATTCCAAACAAATAACCTCCTCTTCCCCACAACAATAATGATAAAAAAAAGCCCTTTAACTTATCATTCAATAAATTTATTTTCATTTTTATTAAATACAGGATATTAACTACACTAAATAACTACTCTAATGCCATTTCATGGTATGGAAGTGTCCCTAGATTCCCAGCTATGACATCTGAGGACAAAGTCTAGCAAGTCCTATTAAGTTAGGAAAGCTTCAAATATGGGTCCAGTGACATCTGTTGTCCAAAGACAAACCTAGCTAAATTCAGAGTTCATCAAATTGGCTTCAAGACTTTTTTTGTTTTTTTGTTTTTTGTTGTTGTTTGTTTGTTTGTTTTTTAGCTATGGTAACTCCTGAAAACTGTTATGACGTTGTCGGAGGAAATGCACATTGTGAAATTATAGATTCTTAAAGTATAAGACAACATCTATTTTTTGAAATGTCAGTTTAAGTAAAAGTGAAAAGAACATACTCATATTACTGCCAAAAGGCTAGAAGGGAAAAATATATAAATTCAAATCAATTTAGTTCAATTCACTAAGCATGTATTAAGCACCTACTATATGCAAAGTACTGTGCTAGAAACTGGGGATAAAAAGACAAAAATTAAAAAGACACTCTCCTGAAGAAGCTCACATTTTACTGGGGATATGGCATGTAAGCAGATAAGTTAATAAATAAGAATTTGAGAAGATTGGTAACATTAATAATGAGGGAAATCAGGAAAGGCTTCCAATGGGAGGTAACACCTTATCTGAGGAAAGCTAAGAATAAGGATAAGATATGAAGGTAGGAATGGAGATGATTCCAAACATACCCTCTAGAGGTAGGTCTTTGAAAAGGCAAAAGATGGGCGGGCTGAGTTACGAAACTTGCTGAATGCCAGTCTGGCAGGACCATTCAGTAAATGAAGACAAGTAAGTTTGGAAAGGTAGGATATGCAAAGGTAGAAACAGATTATGAAGGGCTTTATATGCCAAAGAGTTGGCATTTTATCTTACAGAAAACAAAGTGCCATTTGAGCAGGGCAGTGACATGGTAGCCCTGTATTTTTAGGAAGATTTTTTTGGTAGCTTTGTGGAGAATGGAATGGAAAGAGAAAACACTGAGAGCAGAGGACAGTTAGGAGACTATTACAACAGTCTAGCAACAGACTATGAGGGCCTGATGGTAGGGGCTCTATAAGGAAAGAAAATGGATCTAAGAGATGCTGGGAGACAGAATTGGCAAAACTTGGCAAATGATTATACGTAGAGGATAAAGGAGAGAAGAGTCTGAAGTGGCTAACCTTTCAGTTGAAGTTAAGAATAAAACATGAGTAAAACAAAGTTGAGAGTAAAACAGTCATCATAATACAAGAACTCATATTTCAGAATGTCATTTATATTTTACTCAGTATGAATACTTAGCTCTTTGGAAAAAGTACTATATGTTATTATAACTGTAATTAATATTAACAATGGAAAATCTAATGAATTTGTACATTTCTCTAAGCATATGAAAAGGAATAATTGCATATTAATTCTCAGTGGTATTATTATGGACCTTAAACTTTAAGTCAAGTGAACCATAGTCCCTCGACTATAAAAGTTAAAGTCCTCTTCCTAAGGCCAAACAATGGAGAGTATTCTTTGAACTAGTATGTGCTTGGCACACAGAAAGCGCTTAATAATTTTTTTTCATTGATTCATTCACAGTTTCAGAAAGGGATAACAAAAAGAGGCTAAGCGTGTAACTTGAGGGCAAAAGTAGGGGTGGAATAAAAGTAGACAACATCAAATTGGCACTAACAAAAAGCTTCTTAGAGCAGAAATTAAACTACTGGTGGCAGGGATTCCACAGCATTGTATTGTTTTATCAGGGTATTTAAAATGTACTAAATTAAGATGTTTTCTTCATTATATTCAACAGTAAAGTAAAATAAAAACTTACCCAAAGTTTCCAGTAAACTGGAAAATACACTGTTTCTGAACTCCACAAGGGAAATGATAGCTTCGTTTACATTTGCTGGCTACACATCCAATTGAAGCACCACTTTTCTTGCAAATACAACATTTCTAAAACAAAACAACAGAAAAACATGGATTATCTCAGATGAATCCAATTACAAAGGATTTACATTAAAATAAAAAGCCAAGATACTCATGAAAAAAATGAATACTTTTTTTTTTTTTTTTTTGCTTTTTGGTGAGGCAATCGGGGTTAAGTGACTCTTACCCAGGATCATACAGCTAGTTAAGTGTCAAGTGTCTGAGGTCTCATTGGAACTCAGGTCCTCCTGAGGCCAGAGCTCTATCCACTGCGCCACCTAGCTGCCCCCATGAATACCTTTTAACAACATTAAAATTGCTTTTATAAGGATATCAAAAATATCCTTATTTTTGATAAAGTAAAGACTTAGTAAGTTTCCTAATCAGACTATCATTCCATTCTGATTTCTAGAGGTGGTCTAGAAATAAGAGTCTATACTCTGCTAGTTTAATAAGGATATGGACTAGACCTGCAATTTCATTAGTCTAGGGAACTATTAAGGAAACTCCTCTACCAATGCTAGTTGGCACTTTCTTTGCAATGTACTATTTAGAGAGCCATTTCAAGCACTGAGAAATTAAGTGGCTTATGTGATTGTAGTAAAGGTCAGTGGCAGCATTTAAACACAGATCTTCCTGACTTTGAAATTAACTCTCTAGCCACAACACCATGATATTTTGTAGAGAAGAGGAAGTAAATTATGAAGGTATATTTTATTATGGGAAATAATAGAGCTTGAGAAATGCAACTCAAAAAACAAACAAATCATGTTCTTTTCAGACAATAAGTCTGTGACTACACTACTCAATCAACTCCAATGGCTTCCCATTGCTTCTGGGATTAAATACCAACTGGATATAAGAAACAATGAATAATATGAACAAAGAAGTATAGGAAGACTTCTATGAACTGATGAAGAGTGAAGTGAGTGGAACTGGGAGAATAATTTATTACAGTAACAGCCACATAAAGACAACTTCAAAAGATTAAAGAACATTTATTAACACAATGACCAATCATGATTCCAGAAGACAGATGATAAAGCATGCCACACACCTTCTGAAAGAGAAGTAGTTGAGACTCAGGGTACAGAATGAAACATATTTTTTGGACACGGTCAATGCTGAAATTTGTTTTGCTTGACTATGCATATTTGTCACAAGAATTTTACTTTTGTTTTCAATATTAGGGGTGGGGTGGGAGAAAAAAATCAATTTTTGTTCATTGAAAAAATAAAATTTAATTAAAAGAATAAAATTAATAGATGAGAACATAACAATCTTACAGGATAGATACAGAATGAATTTCATGTAAAATGTGGATAAATAACCTGCTTTGTATCATAATATCCAGCTACATGTAAAACTTTCATTTGTGTAGTGTATCTATATCTATAAACATGGTATCCCAAGAGTTTTAATGCAGTTTTAAGCTACACTATAAAAGCTTTAAAACTGCACTAAGATTTTTGGGACACTCTGTATCTTTATATTGCCAATTCTAATCAGAACAATCAGGCTATAGACAACTCTGTCTAGCTTCAAGTACTATTCAAGAACATGTTCTAAGGCCTAAGCTAATCTCAAAAGGTTGCAATGTATCCCTGGAAAACTTTCCTGACAGTGCAAGAACTTGAAAAGACTAGAATCTTGAATATAGAAATGCCCTAAAATTAACAGAATGCTGAATGGCAAGTAGCTGCTCTGAACTAAGAACTAACCTAGATCCAAAGCCCAGACAGATTGCCATTTCCCCAGACCTAATGCGACACAAATTCATACCAAAAGAAAGAAATCTAGAGGTCTACATGGGAAGATTCATAATTTTATAGGATTCGACAAGAAAGGTTTCTTATGGAATGTTAAGGGGTTTTCTGAACTTGTCTTTTTGAGCTGCCATATTTTCTAAAAACACTGGACTCAAGAGTATGCAGTATGCCCTGAGTGTGTCAAGGATGGAGCTGACAAAATGTATTGTTTACATCCCAAGCTGGACCCCCTGTGTGTCCCTGGGAATCAAGATAGGTGTGTCACTCTGCACTAGGTTGAGAAGTTGCTGAGACCCTTGTAGATAAGCAGACCATCTTATCTTCTTGATTCCAGGACTGGTGCTCTATTCACTGAGCCACATAGCTCCTCCTAGACCATCCTATCTTCATAGTCTAGCACAGGCGTGGGGAAACTGTAGCCTCAAGGCCACATGTGGCCTTCTAGGTCTTTGAGTGCAGCTTTTTGAATGAGTCCAAGTTTTATAGAACAAATCCTTTTATTAAGGGGACCTGTTCTATTAAGTTTGGATTCAGTCAAAGGGCTGCACTTGAGGACCTATGGGCTACATGTAGCCTCCAGGCCTGCAGGTTCTCCACCCCTGGTCTAGCAGTTTTCAAGAGAACCCAAAGAGTTTTGTCCTTTTCCCACCTTTACTGCAATTTTCCCCCTCCCATGCCACACCCCCATAGGTGGAGATTTCTAGTGCCTCCTTCCTTTGTCCTATGGTTATAAAAATGCAAAGTTCTGCATGGATTGTGAACTCTTTGGGTTCCACATGCATGTTCATTTCTCTTGTAATAAATCTAGTTTTCATGTAAGTTTTGTGAAGTTGTGATTTCCTTATGACACATTGCAGTCTATTAAGATTTGCAGCACCAAATCTCGAATTGTCATTAGTTTAAGATGTTCCTTGGGTCAAGGAGGGTTGCTGAAATACTGGCATTTAACTTTGTTGAGAATCACTTTTTCACTATTTTATTTTTAAAGATTATAAATTATAATTGACTAATATTTACTATATTTTATAGTAGTTAGCATGAAAACATGAACTTAATATCTTAGAAATTTCCAATGTAAACAATGTTAAAAGAAAAAAATTCTTATGAATTATATAAAAGATATTTAAGATAATATTCAAAATTGCCTTCTTACCAGCTTAGAAGCTCTATTTACTTCCTTCTTGATATCTTCTATTAGAAAACCATAAACACCTTCTTTTTCTTCACCCCTCTGCCAAATTCCACTTGACATCAACTAAGAAAACAGATTTAAGTTAGAAAATAAATCATGACAACCTACTTTTGAGCAAAATATCTACCCTTTCAAAGCGTATCTCTCATTAGCTTCTTTAGCTATGCGACCTCACAAATATTAAGCACACTAATTCCTATGATTACTTTTCATGTCAACAAAGCAAGATAATACTTATGTCCTTTGATTTAGGTAACTTATTGTGATAGGTTCACAGATTATATGGGAATCACAGATTTAGAACTTTATGGTTCTAGGGGACTTCAAAGGTTACCTAGTTTGAACATTTTACAGCTATGGAAACTGAGACTCAGGAAGGTAAAATTGCCTAAAGTCATACAGGTAGTAAGCATCAGAGACAGGATTTGAACTCAAATCTTCAGACTCTAACGCCAGTGTCTTTCTACATTATCACACAGCCTCACCAACCAGGGACTGAAGACACAATAAATAAAGACGAATAAAAAAGAGGTAAAAGAAGTTATTTTTAAAAATCTTTATTGAAAAAAAAAAAGATTTCATTGGTTCTTGCACAGTCACCAGTGCACAGACACTATGAACAATGGGTATATTTTTTAATGCCAGTATTAAACATCAAAAAACTACATGGAGGGCAGCTAGGTGGTGCAGTGGATAGAGCACCGGCCCTGCATTCAGGAGGACCCAAGTTCAAATCTGGCCTCAGACACATAACACTTACTAGCTGTGTGACCCTGGGCAAGTCACTTAACCCCCATTGCCCAACCAAAAAAAAACCAAAAACAAACAAAAAAAAACTACATGGATGTAATCCCTTCCTAAACCATTTTTTTTCAGTGACTTTTCTGCTTTTGGGGTTAGAAGCAAGTGTCCCCTAAAACAAGGACATTTAGTACCAGTGTCAATATTATCGAAATTTCAGGTCTTCTACAAAGAAAAGTTCCACTAACTGTAAAACTGAACTCTCTACAAATATAATGTTTTCCAGTATTGCTCAGTACATTAACAAAATTAGTGGAAAAAGTTAATACAACCACTAGAAATATAACAATGCTACAGTTAGCACACTATTATCAAAGTGAGATCTGAGATTGGGGGAAGTTTTATTCAGGAAATAATTCTACTGAAGATAAGATAGATACAGAACATAAGTATTTAAATTGTTAAGATCTTGAAAAGTCATAGTTATTACTTCTTATTTTTAATCTGTAATGCTTCATTTTGCAAATTATAAATACTGCCTATGGATCTCTCTTAATCAATATTCAATTAAATTCTAGTATAAAAAATAAACCAGAACATTATATTACCTCTTTTAAAATGGTATTTATACTTCTATAAATATGTAAGATTGAAACAGAATGAGGCAGGTTCCCCACCCCTGCTCTAGAGTTTTCATTTGCAAAAGCTAATTTAAAAATTTCTATGAATTATAGAAGGAAGTAGCACGGTTAAGTGAAAAACGACTTGGTTTCTTTCTTTCCTTTTGAATCAGAGTCTGGAACCTCCTCATTTTAGTTTTTCCATTTCATTTGGGCAAATCATCTTTATTCTCTTTTTGGTAAGTCACGTTTTTTGTACATGAACATTTTCCCCCAATTTATCTTCTATGCTATCTTTTTGGGTTCAGGTTCAACCTCTTCAGGGATGAGCTTAGCTGACAATCTTGCTGACTTTCTTTTAAGGAAAGGGTAAAAGGGATGTAACTACTATAATGGGAGGTACAGAGCTGCAACTAAAGCCTGACTCCTCTGTCTTATTACTTCTCTTCCCACAGCATTTGTTCCTGGTACCTAAGATATAATTTTTAATTAAATTACATATAATTTGGGACAAATCAGCCAATTACTGACTTCCAGTATGACTTTCATTATAGAAAAGGCATATGGAATAATAAAAGCTTAAAATTTTTATTTTATTATAACAGCTCCTTTTACTTAAAAACAAGTATATATTACAGGTGTTGTGATCAATTTTTTAAAGTTACATTTCTTACTGTATAGAAAACAACAAAAATGATTAAGTTACTGACTTAACATGGATTAGATACAGTGACCATTTTAAAAAAATCAACAGAGAAGTGTGAATTGTGAGCAAATATTTAATTTATAGGTAATAGGAAAATAATATTCCAAGAATATGAAGAATGTTGGAGATTTAGGATTACTCTGTAGCAACTTACTCTCCTTGTATGTACCTGGATCTCTATATATTTATTCACTGTATCTGACTGTAACTTCAAAGCCATTTGATTGGCAGCATTTTTGCTCCGCCCTTTTTCCTTCTGGATACTCTTTTTTCCTTTGAATTCTATGAACTTCTTTCTCCTGGTTCTCTTTCAATTTATCCAACTATTCCTTCTTGGTGTCCCTTTGCTGCTTCTTCTATTCCCTGAAAGTATTCCAAGGTTCTAGGCATTAGCCCTTTTCTCTACTCTTTTTTTTTCTATACCTTTCCCCCCTTGATCTCACCTGCTTCAATTATCACTTTTCAATTAGCCAACAAAATATTCATTAAGTACCTACTATATGCCAAGAATGCAGAAAGCCCCTAAAAAAGACAAATTGTACATAAGAAGTAGTTTCATATACAATCTCCTTTTATCATTCTTTGAATATTGAGATATTCATGTTGATGTTTATTAACATCCTAGGAAAAGAAAAAAAATCTGAAAAAAATACTCAGTTTAACACAATTTTTTTTTAAATCTGAAGTTTTCACCCATTCCCCCAAGCTGTGAGGTAAAACTGCATGCACAAAGATACATATACACAGAGAGAGAGAGAGAGAGAGAGATCTGGAATTTTTTGCTTACTTTTAAACCCACCTTACAAGTAGTAATGAGCAATAGTAGCAACAGTGGCATTAAAATATTTTTTAGTCAATTTTTTGTTTATTCAATGGACCAAAGCCAGATATAGTCAGTAAAATGCAGCTATGCCTACGAGGTGTCTGATGTTCAAGGTTTGTCTGGCCTTTCTATTTTTGGTACTGCTGAATGCTGGTACTGAATTCAAATTTTTTTTTTGACAAGGAAAGAACTAACTACCATAGGGTCCATATGGGCCAGTGTTGGCTTATAATTTACATTTATTACCATCCATACTGTGAGGTTATAAGACCAAATCTATTACTTCACAAGGATGGCCTTGGGAAGTAGCAATATGACATTGGGCAAGTCATTTAAACTCTCTAAGCTTTTATTTCCTCCTGTAGGATCAATTTATATTCCCATTTGACATTTAAAGATCTTCACAACTTGGCCCCTTCCCACCTCCTTAAGCCTTCTTATACATTACTCTTCTCCAAATACTTCACAGGCCAGCCAAATTGGTCTGCTCATTGTTTCTCATACATAAAGCTCATTTCCCAATTTCATGCGACTCACTGACTACCCAAGAAGCCTAGAATGCTCCTGTCTCAGCACTTTCACTTTTTGGAATTCTCCTTTTCCCCTAAGAATCACCTCAAGTACCACATTTCCGCAGGAGTTCTTTCTCGGTCCCTAGCTACTAATGTCTTCCCATAAAAGGTTATGTTGTATTCGCTTTGTATAGGTCTTATAGATGCCAATATATGTACATGTCTCTCCAGTGGAATATAAGCTCCTTGAAGACAGGTCTGTTTCACTTTTGTCTCTGTATATCCAGTCCCTAGTATAATGCCTGGGACATACTTTGTACTTAATAAATGCCTGTTGATTGATTGCAAAATGAGGATAATAATATCTACCTCACAAGAGTGTTATGAGAGGGGCAGCTAGGTGGCGCAGTGGATACAGCACCTGCCCTGGATTCAGGAGGACCTGAATTCAAATCAGACCTCAGACACATAACACTTACTAGCTGTGTGACCCTGGGCAAGTCACTTAACCCCACTGCCTAGCCAAAAACAAAAAACAAACAAACAAACAAAAAAAAGAGTATTATAACACTCAAATGAGATAACGTATGTTGTGCAATTTTTAAACCTGTCAGCGCTATAAAAATGTTAGCTATTACTGCTACTACTACTACTACTACTATAGCTACTTTGTATTAATTTAAGTAAGCAATATTCATTTCAACGTTCTAGTATACAGAGCACTAGATAGAGAATTTTAAGCAACATTTTTCTTCAACAACTGAGCTCCCACGGCTTGATACCTGGTAAAGTCCATTAAACGGCTACTGTAATTAAGTAAATTTCATTGGCATTAAAATCTTACACAACCTAGAAATTTTATAAAAATTAACCATGAAATTCTTTAGACAAAAAAGCATAGGTAGACTTTATCTGTATGGCCCATGAGCTAAGAATGGTTTTTACATTTTTAAATAAAATTTTCTTATATTTAAAAATATAAAAACCATTTCTTAGCACACAGACCAGGCAGCAGGTAAGATCTGGCCCTTAGGTTATAGTTTGCAGACCCTGATCTAAACAAATACTCTCATTTTACAAAGGAAGAAATTAAAGTCTAGTTTCGTTAAAATTTAGGGAGGAATTAGGCGATTTGCCAGTCATCAAAAATAGCCTTATTTTTTCCAAGAATTAAAAATTCAAATGATTTAAATCAATCATACTTACCAAACAATAGTAATGTATAGTGAGATTGTGGTCCTGGTAAATTTTCTTTTCTCCATACTTTTCAGGATAATCATCAGTTCTTCGACAGAGAACACAAGCTGAGAGTGAAAGATATTTTCAAATGTATTTTAGAACAAGAGCTATGTATCAGATGACAATATACAAGGCCAATGAACAGTAAGTGATATAGGAGAGAGATAAAGAGAAGAGAAAAATATCACCTTTGGTTGAGCTAATTGAGTAAAATTTCATAAAAAGGTTTTGCCTTACTAAGCTAGTTGTAAAAGCTGTAAATATGTGTGGACTTATTACCAATAAACAGTATACATCAGGTTCCCTTCTTATATTCCTTTGCGTCCCCATGGAGGACAATTGGGGAAACAACAGTGAATGAAATGTCTCTACCCTAACATTTTATAAAGAACAGATAGAAAAGAAAAATATTTAGGTGACCCAATCCCATTAAATCTAATACTATACATTATAAACTATAATGTACGTACAGATACAAAAGCACAGAACAAGATCTTCAGGTACGTATCAAAAGTAAAATTCTAATTCTAACTGAATTCCATATTGTTGCAAGTGAAATTTTGTTACAATATTTACATTCCATGTTGAAGCTTGCCCATTTACAGAGAGTTTCAAATAACTAGGTTTTTCAATTCAATCAAGTCATTCAAAATTATTAGAAATATCAAGATACTTCAAAAAGAGGTCTTATAGAACTACAAAATAGAATTTTTAGAACTTAAGAGATCATCTATTCTAAACTCCTAATTTTATAGTCAGGAATCTAAGATGCTGGTGAAATAGAGTATAAACAAGAACATTGGTTTAAAAAAGCTTAATTTAACCTTTTGAAAATGTTAACAACTAACTGTACTTAGAGTGAGGATAAAATAAGTCATTAAATTACAATGTTTACTCACCAAAGTTCTGAAGCTGACAAAGATTATTTTCATTCATGCTAATGTGTTCCTTTGAAATCGAGTCCTAGGAAAAATTGCAAGTAATTGATCAACAATACCACCTTACAAAAGAAAAAGTTATCAAAAACTTTGAACCAACTTATTTAGTCTGCTTAAGATTTATTTATATGTGAGTCTGTGGAGTGGTTACAACTAAGAAAACCATTTAATTATTTCCAGCCACAAAAATTGAAACATTCCTTTTAGGATGGCTTAAAGACATATAATTTTAAAGCTGAAATGGATATAGACAGCATCCATTTCAACTTCATTTAATGTATGGAAAAATGAGGGACTTATTATTTAACTAACTTACCCAAGGTCAAAGAGGTAATTAGTAGCAGGACTAGTTCTAATCTAGGTTTTCTACTTGAGCATTCCATATTCTTTCCTACGTCACAATAAATTTCCCTCATTCCAAATATACATATTTTAGATGGCTAATTAGACTGACTAGAATATAGAGAAAATGACAAGCAAGTTTGTACTGGCTTTTGGTAAACTGAGATTTGGATTTGCATTCCACACGTTTCATTTTTGCTTAAAAATGCTAATTAATTAACCTACTATACAGATACAACTCCCTCATTGACTCATTTCCACTTGTCAGTCAGTGAGCTTAGCCCAAATTTCCTTTCATCCCTGATAATTAGCATTTAAATAACCACCTCATCAATAGCTGATCAATCAACAGTTATTTATTAAGTACCTACAAGGTACTAGGCACTGAGGTGCTAGGGACTAAGAATACAAATTAAAAATATAACAGTCCCTGCCCTCAAAGAGCTTAAAGTCTATTGACTTTCAAATAGCCTCCATTTTTTCTGTGAAGTATGAAGTGAGGTTCTCAATTGAGATGGTAGGAGTGGAAAGAAGGAGTGTAATAAGAAGCTTGAGGATTGATGAAAAGGCTTAGGACAAATTATTAGGAATACAAATGCACAAAAACAAAATACAACCTATGAGAAGAAAAAAAGCAATGATGTTAAAAGAAAATATGATCTCCATTCAAACAAACATTGATCCTGAAGACAGGATACAGAAGACAACTTAAGGATCACAGTTCTCCCAGAAGAACATGACAAATCAAAAACTTTAACACCATTATGCAAGAAATAGTACAAGAAAAAAAAAAACCACCTTCTGAACATAGAAAACAAAGTACTAATTGAAAGAATCCACAGATCACCTCCAGGACAAAAAAGCAACAAACCACCACCAACAATAAAAACCAATGCAGCAAACTTCAAGATATACAGTGGTTAAATTTAACAATTCCAATGACAACAAACTCTGCATGCAGGAGAAAGGCCTTCAAAGAAAGGCAATTTGAATAATATAACACTATTCCTCTTCCAACATAAACTGCAGAAGGGAATGGAATAATGGTCCACAGAGCAAAGGGACTCAAGATGCAAATCAACACTCTGCAAATTTGAGCCTAATAATCAATGAAAAAATACAGACTTCAACAAGAAAGGCATTTGAAATGTTAGAAAAAAAGAATAGGAGCAAATAATTTGCTTTGCAAAACCCCATGCAAAAGAAACACAAGATAAAACAAATACAGAAACCAAGGAAAGCTCAAGTAAAGAAATAAATTGCCCCAGGAAAAAAAAATGGAACCCCACCACCCCCCCTAACAACTTAGAAGCAGGAAGACTTTTACAAGGTTAACAACAACAATAACAGGAAAAGGTGGTATAGGAAGAGGAGGAGCATTAGATTTCTTCCTAAAAGTCCACAAGAAGAATACCAAAATTTAAACAGGTATGACGGAAGAATGGATGTGAAACATTGTAGATTATGTTTCCAAACACTGCAGAATGGGACAGTACACAAAAGAGTAGTGTGGTGGGAGTAAAGGGAATTGTGTGATGTATCCTAGTCAATGAATGGTAAATGGCACTAGCACTTGCAGGAACTAACACTTTTAAAACTGAGGCACAACAGAAAAAAAAGGGGAGAATGCAAGATCTATAAAGCAATAACATAGATGCTGTTTAGAAGAAAACTCAAAATAGGTACCTTACAAGTTTTAATTCCATGTTGAATATAGAAACTAAAAAAAAAAGAAGTGCAAAGACCATGAATCAAAGAATAAAAGTCCAGAAAAGGAAGAAAACTAATGAAGATAACAAGGGGGGGAAGGGGAGAAGTCCTTTTTAGAAAAAGGCACAGAAGATGAAATTAAAAAAAAAAACCCAAAAGAATTTGAAGACAAATATTTTACTTAATTGAAAGACAAAAAAGAGTGGAAGAAATAGATGATTAAATAAAAGGAAGAAAGAAAAAGAAGCAAGTAAAACTACAAAACTATGGAAAGCAATGACAAACAAAAAGGGGGGAGAGAAAAAATGCTTGGGGGAGAGGGGAAGAAAGTGGGGAACAGAGTTGCCTTAAAATAGATTAAGCAAAAATAAATGGGAACAAAATATTTTCTTTACAGAGGAAAAGATATAACAACAAAAATTTAATTCAGAAAAAAACAAATGGAGGAAAATGTAAATGTAATTTGCAAAACTATAAATTTGAATGGATTAAAGAATACAATAATATGAAAGTGACATTTTAGAAAGAATATAAAACATCACAATCTGTTGCTTACAAGAAACATACACCAAAAAACAAGGACATACATAGAATGAAAACGAGGGACTAGAACAAAATTTAGTATGTATTACGTAAATCCAAAAAAAGTAGGAGTTTCAATCATGCTATCATATTGAAAAAAAATTACAACATAAAAGGAGATAATCAAGGAATTTATATTATGCTGAAAGGAAATGTAGAAAATAAACCAATATTAATATTGAATTTATATGCTTCAAATGCTTTAGCATCTAAATTTATAAAGGAAAAATTAAATTACAGGAAGACATAGACAGTAACACATGACAGCAGGAGACTTTAATGTCCTCCCAGTTTTGGACAGATCTGACAAAGATAAACAAAAGAGGAAATATAGAATTGAAAAAAATGTTGGAGAAACTAGGCTTATGGTGTCTATTAAATGGAACTACTAAAGAGTATGTGTATTTCTTAACAGCATGTGGAAATTTTACAAAAATTTACCATACTATGACACAGAGATAAAAGAAATAAATGTAAAAAGGCAGAAATAGTAAACACATCCTCTACAAAACATTACATAATATGGACAGTAATTGGTTTAGGAAGCACAAACAAAAGACACAGACCCAAATGGATTTATCAATAAAATACAAAATAATGAGTAGATAAGTAACAAATCATAGAAAGAATAATTATGTGAAAGAAAATGATATTGGTGAAATAATATACCAGAATTTCTGGAATGCTAAAATATTTCACATGAGAAAAAATTACATCCCTAAAAACATATTAACAAAATGAAAAAACAGAGGATTAATGGACTGAATAGTCATTTTTTAAAACTAGAAAGCCAACAAGGAAACCCAAAATAAGCACACAAAAAAGAAGATGAGAAATAGAGAAATGAAAAACAGAAGTAAAAACTGATTATGCTACACACACACACAGAGTATAGGACAGAGAGACTTTTCTGAACATCATAAAAAGTATCAATTTTAAACTAAAAGCAAATATCATATGCAATGGGGATACATCAGAATCTTTCCCAGGAAATATGGAAATAAAGCAAGAATGCCCACTCTCATTCTCGATTGATATATTTCTCAAAATGCTAGCAGTAACAATAAGACTAGAGAGAGAGAGAAATTAAAGGCATAAAGACAGGCAAACCATAATGAATAAAGGCAATTAAAAAAAAGATATTAAAAATAAGTAACTGATTATATTAAAGTTAACAGCTATCTGCATCAACAAAGACAACGCAGGTAAGTGAGGAGAAGCAGTCAGTAGGAAAGTAAATCTCTTTTTATCAAATTTCTGAGGTAAGGATTTGGTATTCAATATATATAGACAAGTCAATAGAATGTTGCACACTAGTTAGTGCATGGTTGTTGGAGATGCACAACCAATTTAGAAAGCAAATTGGAATAATGCAAATAAAGTGACTAAAATGTCTATACTTTTGACCTAGATATTCCACTACTAGGCATATACCCTAAGGAGTCACTGATAAGAAGAAAGTCCTGATAAAATAATAATTACCATTTATAAAGCCTGTTTTTAAAGTGCTTTATGTATATTATCTCATTTGATTTTTCACAAGAACTCTGTGAGGTAGTTATTAAATATAGTATATATTATGTAATTATATTATATTATATGTTATATAATATAAACTATTATTATATTCATTTTACAGATGAGAAAACTAAGGCTAAGAGAGGTTAAGTGACTTGCCCAGGGTCATATGTTTCAGTGTCAGAGGTTGAATTTAAACATCTTTGTGACACCAAGTATATCACTCTACCTGCTGAGCCACCCACGACAAACTATCTAAAAAAAAAAGGTGATGCCCATTCATTAGGGAGTGACTAAACTAACTGGAGTACATGAATGTAATGGAATAAGATTACTGTGCTCTAAGAAATTACAAATATCATGAATACAAAGAAACACGAAATCATTTATACTCTGATATGAAATGAAATAAGCAGAGCCAAGAAAATGTTATACACAAAGATCACAATGTAAATGAAAGAACCATAAAACATTCAAAAATGAGTGTTACAAGAAACTACAGGGAACAGGCAAGGCCACAAAGAAGAGATACCTGAAGACATTCCCACTGCACTCCTTTTCAGAGGTGGGACATAGACAAGTGTGGCACACTATCTATTTCTTACTTCTTAGATATATTGACTGTTTTTACTGATTTTTTCTCCCTTTATCCTTTTTTTTTTTTTAAATAATGTTATTTGCTATAATGGATGGCTGTCAGAGCAGGGAGGGAGAGGGATAGTGTGAAAAATTCTGGCACTATAACAAGCAAAAGATATCAATAAAAATATAAATTAATCCTAAAGAATCGGCAAGTCAAAGAACAAGTCAAGAAAAATTGGTAATTTTATTAAAGATAATGACAGCGATGAGACTATATAGAGATGTAGATAT